CCAACACTCTGGGGTAAAAATAAGATAATTTAAAATAATTTCAAGATATTCTCTTCATCTCACTACGCACATCAACAACTCTTGTTTCTATCTTTAAAATACTGCAAACCTATATAATTCTATGCACCCTGCTATAACCCTTGCCCAAACCATCATTTCTTGCTTTAAAAATTGCATTAGCGGGGCTGGGGATTTAGCTCAGCAGCGTAAGTGCCTGCCTGAGTTCAATCCCTGGTACCGATAAAAACAAAAAAAGACCAAAAAAAAAAAAAAAAATTGCATTGGCAGCCAGGTGAGCTGGCACATGCCTCTAATTCCAGCGTGAGAGGAGGCCAATACAGGAGCATTGCTGAGGGTTCAAGGTCAGCCTAGGTTACTTAGTAAATCCAAGGCCATCCTGATCTACTAAAAACACCCTGTCTCAAAAAAACAAAACAAAAATTGCATTAGCTTTGAAAATGTTCCCTTTTGCTGTTCTTACACTCAAATGTAAAATCTACATAGCAACCAGAATGACATTTTGTTACTGTTTTCTCTGTGATATTGAGGACCAACCCACAGAGCCTCGAGCAAGTTAGACAAGTGCTTTATCCGTGAGCTACAATTCCATTCTGAGAATTTTTTGTTTTTTGTTTTTTGTTTTTTTGAGACAAGTCTCATTGCGCAGTCCAGGCTGGCCCAGAACTCATGACCATCTAGTAGTGAGATTATATGTGAATACCACCATGTCTGTCTGATGACATTGTTAAATAAATACACATCAGCCATATAGCAATGCCTGAAATACCACCACTCCAGAGGAAGAGGCAGGAGGATTGCTGTGAATTCAAAGCTGGCAGGAGCTACAAAGCAATACTATCCTGGAAAACAAAACAAAACCCCACAAATCCTATTCAGACTATGCCTTTGTTTTAACACTCTGCCCTGCAGCCAGGAGTAACACATGCCTATAATCTCAGCACTTGCAACGCTGAGGTAGGGTTGTGAGTTAAGGCCAGCCTGGACTACACACAGCAACATATGCCTCAAAAAACAAAACTATCAAAACTTCCAAACCCTCTTCTCAGGGCTGGGACAGTAGATCAGTGATAAAGCCTGTACTTAAGTGTGAGGCCCTGAGTTGATTCCAATCTCAATCTCAAACTCTTGCCCTTATCCTTCAGTTTACGAGGCCTTTGCACTCCGTGACGATCACATTTTTAAACCATTCTTTACCTTGCCTACTACATTCCAACTACACTAGTCGTTTTTGTTTTTTGAATTCTCTGAATTCCTTCCCACCAGGACCTTCGCACAGGCTTTCCCCTCCCTGAAAACCTGTTTCAGCTTCGCATCACTGGTCCTAATTCCTCAAATCCTGGCTTTACATCTCATCTTCCAGAGAATTTTTCCTTGACTACTCCCTGATAAACATTCCGTGGATTTATTCCTTGTTAATAACCGTTCATGACTGCTTTAACGTCGTCTTTATTCTGTTATTTTCTTATAGTCTAAGCCCTGAAAGGGAAACAGCCACACTTGTTTGGTCCTTACTGTACACCAGCGCCCAGAGCCGTACACTCAGAGCTGGTCACAACTTTTGTTCAGCGAAAGAACAAGGAACAGTACAACTCAGGAACGCCGAGGCTAACGGGGCGTGGCCTCGGCGGGGGCGAAGCCACAGCGCCTGGTCCCAGACCGGAAGCCTGGGCGGGGCTTCCCAGGGTGGCGCTCACGCCTCGGGGCGGGGCTAGCGGGCCAGCAAATCTGGTCATAGTTGGGGGCTTATTTTCCCAGTCCCCCTAACAGTTTCCTCCCTCAGAGCCCTGGCTCACCCGAAGGCACCTCTCCCCACCACTCGGATCCGCTCGTACTTCTCCATCTCATTTCTCAGATATACACTGCCGGCACCCCCTGGCGGCGCGTGCGCAGCCCTGCCCACTCTGGAGCCCCGCCCCTACGCTGTGCGACGTTTGCTGGGTGGAGCTAGCGTGTTGTGTCAGTTCTAACCACTGTAGCCGCTGTGTTTGTGATCTTATGGAGTCCACAGCGGCGACACCGACTCACTTTTCCCTCGCGACTCTGCCCCAAGGGTGGTCCAGAAATAGGATTAACTCCTATTTTGGCCCACTCCGTAGTGCCTAGTGCGGTACTAGCTGCTTTTTACACACGTGACTCGATCCGCTCGGGTCGTGGAGAGCTTACTAAAAAGGCACAGCGCGCCTGCAAGCGTTGTCTTCCGAAGCCTCCCCTGCCCACGAATGATGCCATTTCAGGAGGATAAAGCAGATCCTCATTGGCACGCAAGCAAGAAACAAACTGAACTGAGAGCAGCGCTCTCGGGTCTGTGGAACAGAGAACAAGGGTAGTTTCGTGTTTGCCTAGGGAAGGACCGGGAAAAACCCGAGTTGTGCAAATTTTGATTCACCTGGGGAGGACGTGATGCGGTCTCCAGGCTGAGCAGACACGCATGGCACTCGTCAGCGCTCTCAGTGCCATCATCCCACCAGTGTTGCAGCCAGGGATCAGCACTTCCCCTCGGGGAAGGTGGAAGTGGGCAGGAACCAGTATTGGAAAGTGTCTGGAAAGTACGCAGACTACTTTCCAGAGGTGGAAAGTACGCAGTTTGGCGAAATGGGTTTAGCTCTTCTGACGACCCATGCTTGTTGGCACAGGCCTGTAATCCCAGTACTCGGTTGGCTGAGGCAGAAGGATTGCCATGAGTTTGAAAAGACCCTGGGCTACATAGCGAGTTCAAGACCAGGCTGAAGTACATAGGGAAACCATGTCTCAAAAACAAAAACCAAAACACCCAAAAAAATCTCTTCTGCCCAGAAGTTAGGGTTAGGTTAGGATTAGGGCTAGTTGGTCTGATCCGCTAGGACCTCAGAGTCTGGACACAGAACTGAGTTTAATTCCAGCCTCTTTCTGGTGCCATCTGCTCTATGGGAGCTCTATAAAAGTTCAGTATTAAGGAGGGTGGTTATTACCAAAGGGTTAACACCCCTATTTCAAGAAGACTTGGGCATGGTGGCACATGCCTGTAATCCCAGCACTTGGTAGTTTGAGGCTAGAGGATTGTCTCGAGCAAGACCAAGTCTCAAAAACAAAACAAAATTTAAAAATAAAGGAAGAACGGGGTGTTTTGGGCCGGGGATTTAGCGCAGCGGCATAAGTGCTTGCCTTCCAAGTGTGTGGTCCTGAGTTCGATCCCCGGTGCCGATTAAAAAAACCACCAACGAAAGGGGTGTTTTATTCTCTGCTGCCTCCCTGCCCCTCAAAAGGGTACCCAGTCCCTCCCAAGTAGGAGGGCTAAGGCTGAGTCTCCAGGGACCCTGAGTTCTCTGGAGGTCTCTGGTCAAGGCTACGGTCAGTTGGCAGAAGACAAGCTGTGCTGTAAGTAAAGGGGTATATGGGGGTTCTCTCTCTCTCTCTCTCTCTCTCTCTCTCTCTCTCTCTCTCTCTCTCTCTTGCTCTCTCGCTTAAAGACCAACTGAGCCTTGACTGACCCGGCAGCCCTACGTGGTTAATGTGTAACCTTGGAGCTCTAGGGGGAGACAGCAAACACCCAACCAACCAATTAGTCTCTGAGCCTCGGGTTTCTAGCTTCTTCACGCAGTACTCCCCCACTTGTCTCCTCGGCTGCTGCACACACACCTCTTACTCTCGCACCTGCTCTGGGTCTCCTCCTTTGCTGTAGGGTAGGAAACTTTCAGAGACCTATGGACCAAACTGCAACCAAAACCCCACTTATTACAAAGTGCCAACACAGCAATTAATCTTGAATATTGCCATTTTAGTTTTACAAAACAACTCGGGGCTGGGGTTTTAGCTCAGCGGCATAAGCGCCTGCCTTGTAAGCAGGCAGTCGTGACTTCGACCCCTGGTACCGATAAAAAGGAAAAAGACAAAACAAAAACAACAACAACAACAAAAAAAAAACAACTCATGCACTAACTTTTCTTTTTGGTAGTGGAATCAAACTCACGATTGCCAGGCAGGCGCTTGTGCCACTGTGCTAAATCCCTGGCCCCTATATTAACATCTTTTGTCTTACAAACAGTAACAGAACTTTCAATTTTATAAACAGCTTTTTATTGAAATGTTAAAAAAAAAAACCCTTCCATTTGAAGTTTTTTTGCACAATTTTTGCACTTGCATGCATGTTGACATGCATGTTGACAGTTTGTCAAACCTTGGCTGGGGAGACTTGGCTCCAGTGCCTACAGAGAGGACTCTGCCTGCCCGCTGCGGCACTGGTCTAGGGTTTCCCCAAATGCTACTTTGGTCCTTTGGAGGGTTGGGGCCCCGCGCCACAGCGAGGACAGGCTGACACCTAGTGGCCAGGAGTCGCAATTGCTCCAGACCTGGGCCGTAGAGAAGACAAGTCACCCCAGTAGTATGGGCAAATCCGCAGTCTTCCCCGCCCCAGCCTCTAGGGAGCCAGAAGATTAGGGCTGGGACTGTCTAAAGGCAGACTGTGACAGCCGCTTGGCTTCTGGAGCTCAGGAGAGAACCGGGAGAGGTGATGAGTGACTCAACAGCTCCCAAGCACCAGTTGGGCAGGGAGAAGGACGTAAACACTCCATCTGGGACCAGTCGGGGAACAGGGCCTGGGCGGAGCCACTGTTTGAGGTGGGGCTTCCGACCCCTCCCCAGGACCAGGGTTTCCTAGGGGACACGGACGGACGAAAGATGGGTCCCGCCCAACTCCGCCCAAAAAGGAGTCGAGGGCAAGCGAAGGTTCTCCCGAAGCCCGCCCAGGAGAAAGTTGCGACGCGAGTTAAGAGGCCGTGAGAGCGCCGGCGGCTGGGGACTCTTTCGGCCGTCGAGAGGCGCCAACCAGGGATGTCTCCGCCGCGGCGCCCCCAGGAAAGCCCCTTACCGCCCGAAGTTGGCGGGACCCGGGCGGGGCTGCAGAGGCCCCGGGGGAAGCGGGGCTCTGGCCCTCTGCTTTGCAGAGGCGCCCAAGGGGCGGGGGCAGCGGGCGGGGCGGGGCGGGGCGGGGCGGGGGCGCGGGCGGCGTGGGGCGGGGGCAGAGGCTCGGCCGGCTCGGCCAGGAGGAGCGAAGGGGCCTAGAGGGCTCCGGGAGAACTGTGTGGGGCTGGCGGCCGGCGGGAGAGGGGCTTGGGGTGCACTGGCCGGAGAGGGACCCCGGTTCGCCGAACACCGCAGGAGGCGGCTTAGAGGGCGGACAGACAGACGGCAGGGAGGGCCAGCATGCTGCCCCTGCTGCACCCCGCCTTACCGCTGCTCCTGGGCGCCACACTGACCTTCCGGATACTCCAGCGCGGGCTCCGTCGCCTGCCCCTGCCCGCGCACGTGCGCACCGACCCCCTGCGTACCTGGCGCTGGCACAATCTGCTGGTCTCCTTCACCCACTCCATTGTGTCAGGGATATGGGCACTGCTGTGGTGAGTGAGCGACTGGGGGTGCGAGGTGGCCCGGGATCCCAGGAAGGTGCTGATGCAGGCTTCCGTGTTACTGTTCCCATCACTCACCAGTGGGCCGAGGCCGTGGACCTCACCTGATTCCCTGTTTGGAAAACTACCCAACCAGGGGCGGCCCAGGGAAACCCGAGGCACTGGCGTTTCGGCCAAGCCCCTCCTTGCTCTCTTGCCAGCCAATGGCGCGAGCCTGGACTGTCCTGGGACTGCCCGGGTACCGAGGGAGCCCAGGGTCTCTCCGGGTGCCGACTGTGCCAAGGCCCTTTCCTTTCCTTCTTCCCAGTTTATGGCAGACCCCGGAGATGCTGGTGGATATTGAGACTGCCTGGTCGCTCTCCGGCTATTTGCTGGTTTGCTTCTCCGCAGGTAGGTCTTGGCTAAGAAGCCTGAGGTGTAAGTGGGAGTGGGAGGAAAGGTGTTAAGTCCCTTTCATGACCTCTTCCTCCACCAGGGTATTTCATCCACGACACGGTGGACATTGTGCTTAGTCGTCAGGCCAGAGCTTCTTGGGAATACCTTGTTCACCATGTCATGGTAAGTGATGTATGCAACCTAGCCCCACTCCCAAGTTCTTTGTTAACTTGAAAGGGACGCCATCCCAACCCTCATCCCAGCCGTGTCCTACTTTTCTAGCCAAGGTGCCACCATCTTTGTGTTCTTGCTCAACAGACTGGGAATGGCACCCATCATGCCCAGAACCTGTGGGCAGGGATCAGGATCTATTTGGGAGTCTAAGGCAGTAGAGTCACAAATTGAAGCAGCGTGAGACCAGTAAGATCTGGTCTCCAGGGATGTGTCTCAGTGGTAGAGTGGCCCTGGGCCTTATCTCTGTTACCAAAAACAGAAAAAGAAAACTGAGGTTTGTCCAGTTCTCTGGTGGTTATGTATGATACACCCAACTCCCTTGAGTTGGCACATGGGGTACCAACTCTTGTTCTCATTTATCTATCCTCTAGGCCATGGGTGCCTTCTTCTCAGGCATCTTTTGGAAAAGTTTTGTTGGCGGAGGTGTCCTAACACTACTGGTGGAAGTCAGCAACATCTTCCTCACCATGCGCATGATGATGAAAATAAACAATGCCCAGGATCTCCTCCTCTATCAGGTCAACAAGTATGTCAACCTGGTCATGTACTTTCTTTTCCGCCTGGCCCCTCAGGCCTACCTCACAAACTTCTTCCTGCAGTATGCAGGCCAGAGGACCCTGGGCACGTTTCTGCTGGCTGTCTTGCTCATGCTGGATATGATGATCCTCATCTACTTTTCCCGCCTCCTCCGCTCTGACTTCTGCCCTGACCATGTCCCCAGCCAGCAACACAAAGACAAGTTCTTAACTGAGTGAGAGGCACAGAATCTGGGACATGCAGTGAAGACAGCAAACACAGCCAGAACAGAAACAGCCTCACTGATAAACTGGGTCCACGCCAAGCCTTGGACACCCCCAGGGGCCAGTGTACCTTAAAGCCTACACCCACACTACTGAAAGCACTCCTCTGAAGCCTTAAAATCTTCTCTTGGGCAACTGAGTGAGGGAAGCAGAGGAACCGGTTGGAATGGTATGTGGGTGAGAATAAGGATCCAACCCACATGCTGCCAACCCACACTGACCTGAAATGGATGCTAATGATAACCCTACACTTCCAGGGATAAGCAACTGGGATCCTGTAAAGCTTGTTCCCTTGTCCCTACAAGTTGTCCTAGGACAAGTAACCTTCATCTGAGTAATAAATACCTCTAGTGGTATCTCGCTCTCACTACCAGTTATTAAAGAGTATCATGGCTTGATGGACTGAGTGTTCCAACAGGGTGAGTATATCAAGTTGTACTCAGAGCTGGAAATACCAATACCGCTCAGGGGTGGGGAGTTCACCCAACATGTGTCCCAGGCCCTGGCTTTGATGACCAGCACCCCATGAGTCTTGCACAAGACTTCGTGTATCCCATGGCATGGCCTTCCCCAGCCCAACCAGAAACTGACATAAAGACAAGAAGCATATAAACGAAGAAAAAAAATGTGTATTTAGAACTAGCCAGCTGGACTCAGTTTAGATGATCCCAATCTGAAAAACAAAAGGGAGCTTTGTTACCAGGGCTGAAACAGGAAGATGTAAGGTGGCCTGCTGAAGATGAGAGACCAGGAGAGCAGAGCTTGTTAAGGATCATGGTGCAGTCAGTCAGTTGTGACTAATCAGGAAGTCAGGCTTTGGTCGCTAACAGATTCATCATTTGCACCCAGTGGGTGAATGTGTGGTGTTAGGGGTCTAATTAGAAAGGAAGCTTACTTTGTTGGCAACGTCCAAAGCATCATAATCAGGAGCCAGTCGAACATAGGCCTTTTTCTCTCCGTCAGGCCTGGGTGGAGAATAAACCTTAGCCCTTGCTGCTGTCACTACCCACATTCCCGCCCTCCCCTGGTTCTCTGGTGCATCAGCGGTTCCTTTGTTCATGTCATTCTTTTCCAAATAGTGAATTTTCCATCATTTGCACAGAGGAGCCACCAAGCCAATTTCCTTTCACTAGAAACCCAAGACCCTTGAGACTAAACCCATGTAATCTAACATCTATACTTTCCCTCAGTGCCCGCCTCTGCCCCAGCCCCATCAGTGAAATTCCAGAGGGAGTTTCCTCAGCTCTATACTTGATGGAAAGGACTAACTTCACAGGGGAGCTCACATAGTGAAAATCCTACTTCTGACCTCAAGAGCAGCATCAGGGAACTCTAAGCCATACATGGCCTACTTGGTAAGGGGCCCACTCACCTGATCAGGGTATTGACTTTGGCCACGTCGATGTCATAGAGCTTCTTCACAGCTTGCTTGATCTGGTGTTTGTTGGCCTTGACATCCACAATGAACACGAGTGTGTTGTTGTCCTCTATCTTCTTCATAGCTGACTCCGTAGTCAGGGGGAACTTGATGATGGCATAGTGGTCAAGCCTGAGGGTAGAATGGCAGGTAACCAAGCCTGGTCCCAGTGGGATGGGTTTTTTTGGAGCCCTAATCTAAGAACACAGGTGCATCAGACAATGGGTAACAGTCATTTTTGTCAGACTTTGGTCGCTAGTGTCATCAGCTGCACCTTATTCCTAGGGTTGGGCAACTCTTACTGGAAGGCAAAACTCTTGTCTATTTTGTTTGACCTAAAGGGCTCTTATCCTTTAAAGAATCATCTTTAACTCAAACTCTCACTCACTGGACCTCCATGTTGACAGTTCCCTAGGAAGGTGGATCAAAATTTCTGCTCCCAGCCTGTATTCCCAGCACTCAGGAGGCTGAGGTAGGATCTCAGAGTTGGAGACCAGGCTGGGCTAACATATTTCAAGAACAGCCTGCACTAAAGATGCTATCTCAAAAACACACACAAATTCTGCTTGTAGTGGCTGCTAAAGAGGGATGATCAAGAATTACCACTTTGGGGCTGGGGATTTAGCTCAGCGGCATAAGCGCCTGCCTTGCAAGCAGGCAGTCGTGAGTTCGATCCCTGGTACTGATAAAAACGAAAAAGACAAACAAAAAAAGAATTACCACTTTGTTTCAGACAGGGTCTTACTATGTAGTCCAGGTAGGCCTTAAACTCACAATTTATGTAATTCAGCATCTAGAATAGTAGATTACAGGCTACACTGAACACACCTTTTCCCCCCTAAACTGCAGACTCTCCAGCTACACTACTTTACTATTTTGAAGGTAGGCCAAGACTCAAACTCTTTTACACTAAATTCTACATCCCAATTGGGGGCACAAGAGCTGGGGATTTAGCTCAGCAGCATAAGCACCTGCCTTGCAAGCAGGCGGTTGTGAGTTCAATTCCCCCGTAACGATAAAAATGAAAAGACAAAAAAAAAAAAAAAAAAATTAGGGGCATAAGAGAAGTATACTCCCATCCTTTTCTCTTAATACCTTTTATTGGCAGGGTGTGGTGGCACATGCCTGTAATCCCAGCACTCAGGAGGCTGAAGCAGGAGGTTTGTTGTGAGTTCCAGACCAGGCTGGGCTACAAAGTGAGCTCAAGGCCAGCCTGACCTGCAGCCTGACCCCGTCTCAAAAAGACCAAAGGAAGAAACAAATAACATTACCCACTCACTCAATTTTAAGAAATTGTCTCAAATGATGGGGAATGCAGCTCAGCAGACCACCAGCCTGGCTCGTGCAAATAGATTCTGGTTAAATCCTCAGTATGGTACACATGCACACACACAGACCCAGTCACATCTTCACCTCTAAGACTGTTTCCTCAAGGGTAAGTGCCACAAACAAGGAACTAAACTTGCAGCACTGAGTGTACTATGTATGTATGTATTTTGGGGCGGGGAGTGAGATTGATACAGGGTCTAACTATGTAGCCTAGGCTGGTCTCTAACAGTGACCCTCTTGCCTCAGCCTCCCCTGTGCTGGGATTAAAAGTGTGTCACTATGTCCACTGACTGCTTTGTTTGATTATTTATGTACTGGGGATCAAACTCACGACCTTGCACTTGCCGGACAGGCACTGAGCTAAACCCCCTGGCCATTGACTATTTTATACCCCCAAAAAACATGTTCAAACTCCGACTGTGCTGAATAAATAATTAACCTAGCAAAAAAATCTGCCACCATAGGTTGATAACTTTTCTGCCAGTATCTAAAAACTTAATTGTTAAACAGGGTAGAAAAGGTGGGTGTGGTGGCACCCACCCGTAATCCCAGTATTTTTGAGGCTGAGGCAGGAGGATTACCGCGAGTTTGAGGCCCGCCTGGACTACACAGGGGAAACCCTGTCTCAAAAACACAAAACCAAACAAATGGGGCTGAAAAATCTTCACTCCCATACACTAGATATTATTGCATTTTTGACGAGAACGCGCCAGCGCGAGTAATTTAACAATGAAGGATATTCAAGTATCTTCAGATAGGTATAGGAACAGTACTGACTTGTTTCTCCTGGGGGCGCTCTTCCGAGGGTATTTGGGCTGCCTCCGGAGCCGCAGTGTCTTGGGACGGCGGAAGGTGGGTGAGGTGCGGATCTTCTTCTTTTTGTGGCTGTGAATGCCTTTCAGCACGGCCTTCTTGGCCTTCAAAGCTTTTGCTTTGGCTTCAGCTTTGGGAGGGGCAGGAGCTGGGAAAGAAAAGGAAGGTCTGGGATTCTGAAACCCGTTGGTCACTTCCGGCCTCACGTCCTGTAGCAAGTGCCCCAGCCTACACGTGCATCAGTGGTTCCTTTGGAGACATCACAAATCTCAGGAGATTAACTTTTTTTCCATCATATGCACGATATGGAAAGTAAAAACAACCAATCTAGAGTAACTTCAAAGATATAACGAAAACAAACACTCATGAGAGGGGGATACAGGGCCACTTAACACATAAAGAAAAATGAGTTATGCTGGAGCACTTATATGCTTACGGATGTGGCAATACGGAGCGATTATCTTTGGATGTTTCTAAATTTCCTAGCGTAAACTGTGTGGCTAGCCCTGGCGGATAATGCCGGCCAGGTTGTTTCTCCAAACCCCTTCACGGAACCCTAGCCCATGAGGCTTGCTTACGCAGCCCACCTTCGACACGCTGCATTCAATCGCCGGGAGTAGCTCCGAAGGAATCGGACCGGCCGCCGCCCTACAAATGCGTTCGCTTTCCGGGACCGCATCCTAGGAAAACCCGCCGTGGACCACCCTCCCCCGCAGTCCCAACACACACCTTCCTTCTTCGCCTTCGGCGCCATCTTAATAAAAAGGGTTTCCCACCCTCGTTCCCATGGGCTTATAGCGCTAACTCTAACCGAAGACTCGCGATACTTTTTGCTTAGTTCTTATTGGGTAATGTTTAGCGTGGTGTTCGCTGGGAATTGTAGTTAAATTTAATTTATTCGCAAGAGTGACTAAGCATGAGCCACTCCTCCTCAGGCCCCAAAGCTTCTTGGGAGTTGTAGTTTTTGGTTTGCTTATTTATTTATTTATTTTTGATCTTTTTGAAACAAGCTATGCAATTCAGGCTGGCCTTGAGTTCACGTTGTAACTCAGGTTGGTCTCGAACTCCTAAGGATCCTCTTGTTTCAGTCTCTCCCGTGCTGGTATTACAGGAGTGTGCCACCACACCCGACTGTTTAATTTATTATTATTTTTTGGTACCAGGGATCCAACTCACGACCTTCCATTTGTCAGGCAGGCCCTTATGCCGCTGAGCTAAATTCCCAGCTCCCCGACTGTTTATTTACTAGGGTTTTTTTTTGTTTGTTTGTTTTGTTTTGTTTTTCTTTTTTTGAGGGTGGGTCTCACCATGTCCTTAATGGTGTGTCTTTTTATTTTGGTACCGGGGTTAGAACTCATGATCTTGAGCCATGAGCTAAATCCTCAGCCCTTACCTCAACGTCTTCTTTCAGCTTCCTGAGTGCTGAATAGCCAGGAGTCGCAAGATTTTTTGTTTTGTTTTGTTTTGCTTTTCAGGGTCCTGCAATGTAGGTCAGTGGCCCAGCACCTGCCTGGCAAGTGCAAGGTCCTGAGTTTGATTCCCGGTACAAAAAATTTAAAAAATGGCTTCCCAATGTGTGAGTTCCTAACACAGGCTAGGCAGATGTCTTTTTTTTTTTTTTTTTTTTTTTGTACCAGGGATTGACCTCACCATCTCTTGCTTACCAGGTAGGTGTTCTATGCCCCTGAGCAAAATCCCCAGCATAGACAAATATCTTTGAATGATATTAGCATCATTGTTTTGCTTTTTGTCGGTACCAGGGATCAAACTCAGGACTGCCTGCTTGCAAGGCAGGCGCTTATGCCACTGAGCTAAATCCTCAGCCCTGCTTTTTGTCTTTTTGAGACAGGGTTTCAGTATGCATACAGTTCAGACCTGTTGTAACCCAGGCTGACCTTGAACTCACGGTGATTCTCTTGCCTCAGTCTTCTAGTGCTAATACTTCAGGCATGTATCACCATGCCTGGCTGGTTTGATTTTTTTTTTTTTTTTTTTTTTTTGGTAGTATCGGGGATTGAACTCGCAGTCTTGCACTTGCCAGGCAGATACTTGTGCTGCTGAGCTAACCTGGCCCCTGGCTGGTTTTTTCTTTGTTCTGAGACAGGATCTGGCTTTATAATTCAGGATGGCCTTGAACTCACAATGATCTTCCTGTCTCAGCCTCTACAATGCTAGGATTAAAGGTATATATCATCATGTTCCGCTAAGAGTTGTGGTGTTTGAGGACACATTCTGGAGTCTGGAGGGTTAGCTCAGCAGCATAAGCGCCTGCCTGGCAAGCACAATGTCATGAGTTTGATCCCTGGTACCAAAAATACATAAATAATCTGGTCCCATCTTGAACAACTTTCAGTCTCAGAGAGAAGATTTCAAGCTCTAAAAGACAGTAACCCTGCGTTAGACCTATTAGGGAAAGTGAAGCAAAGTTCTAGAATTGTGTTAGAACACAGTTCGGTGACTGGGGATTTAGCTCAGTGGCATAAGCACCTGCCTTGCAAGCAGGCAGTCGTGAGTTCGATCCTTGGTACCAATAAAAAGGAAAAAGACCAAAAAAAAAAAAAAAAAAAAAAACCACAGTTCATCCAATTTGATTCCCTCAGGCACATCTGTGGGATACTGAGGTCCACAGAAGAATGTGGTTTAGCAATTACCACAGAGATTTCTTTCTTTCTGTCTTTTTACCACAGAGATTTGGTGACAGAAAATGTCATCTGTGTGTCTGTGTGTATGGGGAAATATCAGAGGGAGTATAAAATGGTCAGTATTTTTCTTTCTTCTTTCTTTTCTTCCCATGTGAGTTTTAGATCAGCCTGGACTATATTGTGAGCTCAAGGCTAGCCTGAACTGCAGAATGGGACTTTGTTTTAAAAACAATAAAATATAAAACAAAACAAAACTTATTTTGAGACAGAATCTTACTAAATTGCCCAGGCTGGTCTCAAACTTTTGATCTTCCTGTTAGTCTTCTGAGTAGCCGGGATTATAGGGTATGCCACGTGCCTCACTCACTAGTACTTTAAGTAGTTCTATATTCCGAATACCCATGCACAGATTTCTCTAGGATGCAATAGTTTTTCCTGAGAATGACTTTTGTGTACCCTCTCCCCTGAATTAATATTCCCTTCTCAGTCATCTTTGCATCTTCAAACTGAGCTCCTGGCACAGAGAAAATTTCATGATGATGAGGTTAACTGCTCTGTGGGTCTGTGTCTAATTCACTCCACCCTTACACACACTGCGTCTTCTCTGTCCCTCTGCTTCTGGAGCCAGATGTGAAACTGGCTGCTTTTCTGTCCTCCAAGACTTTGCAAAGAGAAAAAATTATCCTAGTTTTGTGTGTGTTGGAGGCAGGGCGGTTCTAATGGGGACTGGAAAACGAATGCCCGTATCAGCGAGGAGTCTCAGTGTCCCAGGGTGGTGCCCACCCCAAAGGGCGGCGTTCCTCGGTCCAGCTAGCCCTTCTCCATTTTGCATGGAGACAGGCAGCTTGGTAGTCAGTTCTCCCATCCTTTGAAATCGATTCAGCAGCCTGGAAGGGAGAGACACCAGGCGTCGAATGTCCCTCTCCGGGGTGAGCTCCTCGCTCTGATCCTGGCATCCCTTAACACTCCTCCGCCCCCTACCTCCCAGGGCAGAAGGGCGAGCAGGGGCAGACTCTATGAGTCACAGCGCGGGCTTGGAGTGGAGGAGGGAGGCACCGCCTCCCCTAAGGCCCCTTCTCTCCCCTCTAGGCCCTCCCCGCGGGTTCCTCCTCAGTCGATGCTGCGCCGCAATCACCGAATCTCCATCACCAATTTGGCTGAGTAAGGGTCCACAGGAAGGGGCAGCCTGGTCCCCGGTGTGCGAGCAGAATGTCCTAGGGTGTCCAGAGCTGGACAGGCTCCAGCCTGGGTGGAGGAGCCCAGCGTGCGGGGTGAGGCGTCTGGTGAGGAGCCAGGAGCCAGGGCAGCTCAGTGGGGTGGGGAGGAGAGGAGGGGGAGGTGAAGGCGGGCTGCGAAGCCTGGCTGGCGTGGCCGGGAGAGGGGCAAGGGGCGGCCCTTCTCCAGGAATTTCCGGGGATCGTGTTACAGCGCCGGCCGAGCGGGAGCCGAGCGGGACTCCAGGGCCTGCAGCCGACGGCCCCTCGCCCCCTCCTCCGGCGGCCCGGGCCCGGCAGCGCCTCTCCTGCCTACACTGACCCCGTGCGGCGGGGCCGCGCTGCGCCCCGGGGCCACTGTTATGGTGGGGCCGCCCCCGCCGCGAGCCGTCGTCGGGTCTCAGCGGCCCCGGGTGATCGTAGGAGCTCTTCGACCCCGCGTCATTGTAGGGTCCGCGCGGGCCCGGGCCGCCCCCGACGGAACTCCCCGTCCCCGCCTGGCGGCCGAAGGGTCTCCCCGCCCCCGAGTCGTCTTCGGGCCGCCTCGGGCCCGTGTGGTTGTGGGGTCGCCCCGGCCCCGCGTGATCGTCTCGTCCCCGTGGCCCGCGGTGGCCGTTGCGTCTCCCAGGCCGCGGGCTCCTGCAGGCTCCCCGTGGCCTCGAGTGATCGTCGGGACCCCTCGGCCGCGCGTGATTGTGGGGTCTCCACGGGCCCGGGAGGCAGGGGCGGATCAGGCCTCGGCGCCGTCTTGGGGCGCCCCTCAAGGCCGCGGGCAAGATGAACCTCCTGGCGCCCGTGCGGAGAGACCGCGTCCTGGCGGAGCTGCCCCAGGTAGGCAGTCGCCAAGGCCACGTCGGGTGTCTGGTTGCGGCTGTGCGTGGGAGGGGAGAAGGCAGCACCAGACCCGTTAGAGGAAGGTACCCAGCCCTGCTTCCCGCTGGCAAGAATGGATGGTCCGGGGCTGGGGATTTAGCTCAGCGGCTTAAGTGCCTGCCTTGCAAGCAGGCAGTCGTGAGTTCGATCCCTGATACCGATAAAAAAACGAAAAAGACAAAAAAAAAAAAAAAAAAAAAAAGAATGGATGGTCCACCCTTCCCCACCACCCAGGTTTCTTGGCTGCAGGATAAGGGCCTGTAGTGGCTGAGCCCCTTTTCTTTCCATGCTCAGTGCCTGAGGAAAGAGGCCGCTTTGCACGTGCACAAAGACTTCCACCCCCGCGTCACTTGCGCCTGCCAGGAGCACCGGACAGGCACCGTGGGGTGAGTTAGGGACATCTATGGTGAAGACAGGAAGAGGTAGGGAACGCTGAAACCATAGCAAGGGCACACATCAATGCACCCTGTTGGAGCTCTGTTTCAGCTCCTGCCAGCCACACAGTAATGTCCCCTGCTTAAGCCTCTGGGTTTTTCCCTTTCCTTCCAACAAAGTTGTTAGTCTTTGCAGAGTGGGCTAGAAAGTGCCCAGCAAGGATGATGGACACATAACAACATCCTTTGAGCCCTAAGGCAGGGACTCCAGGGGTGAGTTACATTGTAGGTTAAAAGAAGTAATACTGGTACCAATTGCTGTCCTTAAACACTTCTGTAACCTCAGCACTTTCAGGATGAGGTACTCTAGCCTGGGTTAGCTAGAGAGGTTGAGATTGGATCAGCCTGAGCTATAGAGTGGGTTCAAAGATAGCATGAACTGGACTGGGGATTTAGCTCAGCGGCACAAGTGCTTGCCTGGCAAGCACGAAGTTTTGATTTGATCCTGTGTAACAAACAAAACAAAACAAAACAAGAAAAACATTGTTAAAGATGCATCCTGATTTCAAAATGTTAAAAAGGGAAAGACAGGAGCCTGGGTAAATAGCTCAGTGGCACAGCACCTGCCTGGTATGCATGAGGTCATGAGTTCTATCCCCACTCCACCCCACCCCACCCTGCACACACAAAAAAGTGTGCATAAGGGCTGGGGGTTTATCTTAGCAGCACAAGCTCCTGCCTGGCAAGCATGAGGTGGTGAGTTCCATCTCCAGTACCAAAAAAAAAAAAAAAAAAAAAAAAAAAGCATGAATAAAAATAAAGAGAGGGGAAGGGCAGTGTTTTAGAACATAGGATATTTATCTCATTTTAACACAAGGAATTATATACTAAGTCTCCACACAAATGATGTGTGTGTCTGTAATCCCAGACTTCCAAGAGGCTGAGGCAGGAGAGTCTCCTGGCCTACAAAGTGAGTTCAAAAAAACAGTATTAATACTGAGGCTCAGAGAAGTAATGTAACCTGTCCCAAGTCACACAGCTAATCAGAGCTTGAAGTATAAACTGTAGAGCGTTCAGTTAGCATGAGCAAAAGCTGTGGGGTCCATCCTTAGCAATGCAAAAAACAAAATGACTCCTGAGAATGAAAACTTAGTGTCAGTTCTTGTGTCTAGCAGATTTAAGATCTCCAAGGTCATTGTCGTGGGGGACCTGTCAGTGGGGAAGACTTGCCTCATTAATAGGTAAGAGGGTGCTGAGCTTGGCTAGCCTGGGTTGGGCAGAGTAGGGCAAAACATAGCCATCTCAGTGCATCTGGTGTCTCCTCAGGTTCTGCAAAGACACCTTCGATAAGAATTACAAGGCCACCATCGGAGTGGACTTTGAGATGGAACGATTTGAGGTGTTGGGAGTCCCCTTCAGTCTCCAGCTGTGAGTGCTGCCTCTATCCTTTCCAGCTGTCTTTCCCCCGGAACCTATACCCCCATCCTACCCCCATTCCCAGCTACCTGGCTCTGCTCTTCTTCCCGCCAGTTGGGACACCGCTGGACAGGAGAGGTTTAAGTGCATTGCATCAACCTACTACCGAGGAGCTCAAGGTAAGGGCTAGGCCGGCTGGGGCAGAGAGCCCCAGAGAGTGTGCCTGGCCTCCTCATGAGTTGGGGTGGCTGGGGAAGTGAACCAGTGGTGTGTTCCCTCCCAACCTGGGACTGTTTCTGCCACTCTTCCAGCGATCATCATTGTCTTTAATCTAAATGATATGGCGTCCCTGGAACATACCAAGTATGTGGGGGAGCTGTGACAGTGGGAGGGTCCAGGAAGGGAAGATTCTGAAAGGAGGGGTGGTCAGGGAAGAAGAGTGCATCTGGGGAGGTAGGGATGTAGCTCAGTGAGAGAGCACTTGCTCTGCCTGCACAAGGCTCTGGGTTCCACTGCAAACAAGCGATAAGAACATGGGCCAGGGGGTAGTTGGGCTACGACTTCTCCTCCACCCCCCCTCATATCCCTCCACCATCTGGCCAGGCAGTGGCTTGCCGATGCCCTCAAGGAGAATGACCCTTCTAGTGTGCTCCTCTTCCTCGTGGGTTCCAAGAAGGACCTGAGTGTGAGTGTCCATGTGCCCCTGGGGGACTTTCTAGTTTAGGGCAGGGCCCCCCATCTGACTCACTTTTTCCTGCAGACACCTGCTCAGTACGCACTAATGGAGAAAGATGCCCTGAAGGTGGCTCAAGAGATTAAGGCCGAGTACTGGGCCGTCTCATCTCTCACTGGTGAATGTCGGGCCTCTGGATCCCTGTCCTCCTCTCCTCTCATTCTACACTTGTAGCTGCCCCACATGCCCTGAGCTAGTGCTGCCGCTGACACCCATCCTTTCCCCACGTCAGGTGAAAACGTCAGGGAATTCTTCTTCCGTGTGGCTGCACTGACCTTTGAGGCCAATGTCCTGGCTGAGCTGGAGAAATCAGGGGCCCGGCGCATAGGGGATGTTGTCCGTGAGTGTTCGCCTGCTTAAGGTGGCAGACGGCAAGGGGAACCTGTGACCCTGCTTCACAGACTTCCCACCTTTTGCAGGCATCAACAGTGATGACAGCAACCTCTACCTAACGGCCAGCAGGAAGAAGCCCACGTGCTGCCCCTGAGGGCCAAGGAGACTGTCCAGAGACTGCAGTCCCTGGGGCACTGTGCCTCCCTAATCGCAGAGCTTAGCCTCTGGACATTTGCACCAATCTTTTTCAAGACCAAAGAACTACCCTTGGTAGCGGTACCCCCAGAGGGGCAGTTGGGACCACGTTAATCACTTACTGCCCCAGGCATCGTGCCAAAGACTGAATGCCCTCCCAGCCCTTTGGAGATTCTTGTGCCAGGGGAACAGTGTGTATCCCTGGTGCTTTCGCTCAGCCTTTGTGTACGAAGCGCCTAATGTGATTCCAGCCGAACACTGTGCCTTATGCATTAAAGCCTCTGTTAGCACTTGTGAGTGGACTCCTTGGTGGGGAGGAGAGGATTTGTAATGAGGGCTGTAAGGCTAGTTGGGGCTGGAGCAAGCCCCCTGTGGGGATTTTTATCATGCCTGGTCCTGGCAGGGCTCAGGCAGGTTGGGAGGTCCAAGAAGAGTTTCATGGCTGAAGGTCTAGGGAAGTTTAGCTTAGTGGCACAACCACCTGCCTGGTAAGTGAGTGGTTATGAGTTCGATCCCCGTACCAAAAACAAAGGAAAAGAAAAACAAATAACCAGAGAAGGGGTTCAAGGGAGCTAAGATCTAAATAGCTGGTTTTGAGCACCTTTTCCTCCAATGCCCCAAATTCTTCCTGCTTGGTATTTGTACCCACATCTCTAGGGTTGGAGACATGTTTTTTCAACACAGGGTTGTTGTGGGTTTATTTGTTTGTGTTGAGACAGGATCTCACTCTGTAGCTTAAGCTGGGCTCAAATTTGAATCAGTCTACCTGTCTCAGGCTCCCAAGTGCTAGGATGACAGGTATGCATCACCACCCAACATACCTGGATCTTTCAAAGTTCTGAGCCAGAACCAGAGTCCCTACCCTCTCTAGGCCATCTCATCAACCTGTGAAGCATCCAAAACACTTCATCTTTTTCCTTTCCCTTCCTTCCTTCTTTTTTTTTTTTTTTTTTTTACCAGAGATTGAACTCATGACCTAGCACTTAATAGGCAGGCGCTTATGCCACTGAGCTAAATCCCGGGCCCTTTCCTTCCTTCCTTCCTTCATTTTGTGGTGCTGGGGATAGAACTACTGTATCTTTTTTCTTCCCTTCTTTCTGCTTTTGAGATAAGATCTCACTCTGCAGTTCAGGCTGTCCGGGAACTCACAATATGTAGCGAAGGCTGGCCTCAAACTCCCGATGATCCTTTGCCTCAGCCTCTTGAGTGTAGAGATTACAGGTGTGCACCTCTATGCCTGACTCAGACCTACTGTATGTTTTTTTTTTTTTAATTTTGTCTGTTTGAAACAGGGTCTCGCTATGCAGTTCAGGCTGGCCTCGAGCTTACTTTGTAGCCCAGGCTTGTCTCGAACTCACAATGATCCTTCTGCCTCAGCCTCCTGAGTGCTAGAATTACAGACATGTGCCACCATGCCCAGGTGTATCTCTAAATCCTTGTTATCCACCTTTATCTGATTAATGCAGGCAAATCAGTTATCCTCTGTGCTTCAGTATCCTTATCTATAAAATGAGGTTAATAATACTGAATTCATGAGATCATGTGACTGAAACAAGATAAAGCACTAACAGGGGCTGAGGGTATGTTGCTCAGTGGTAGAACATTGTTTAGCCTGTTCAAGGCCCTGGTAAATTCTCCAGTATTATAAACAAAACAAAACAAAACAAAACAAAATCCCAGCTGGGCAAGGTGGAACATGCATGTAATCTCAACATTCTGGGAGGCTGAGGCAGGAGGATCACCAGTTTGAACCCAGCCAGTACAATTTAGTGACTTAGTGAAACCCTGTTTCAAACAATTAAAAGGGATCGAGATATAGCTGTGAAGACTTCAAGTTCAATACCCAGGAGCACAATAAAGTACATGTGGGAAGAACACAAAACACTTTATTATGACTACTGATATCCGAGGAAGAGTGATGAAGCCGCTGGCTTCCTTTTGGGATCTGACCCCAAGTTACAAATTGGCTGAAGGGACTGGGGATTTAGCTCAGCGGCATAAGTGCCTGCCTTGCAAGCAGGCAGTCGTGAGTTCGATCCCCAGTACCGATAATAAGGAAAAAGACAAAAAAAAAAAAAAAAAAAAACCCAAATTGGCTGGAAGTTCCCCCAGGCATCAAGGGCACGAACAAAGGGCACATGGCCTCTCTGAGAGGCCAAGGAAGGCTAAGATTTAAACACGGATCCTGCCTCCTTGTCAGCAAGTGTTCCATCCATTGCTGCCTGGTTCCTTTCCCACCTAGCTGCTGTCCAGGAGGGGCTGGCAGCCTCCTTTTGCTTCCTCTGCCTGCTGAACTCAGATTCTAGAGCTACAGTGGGAGGAGGAGCTGGGCAGTGGGCACACTCAATCAAGAGTTGGTCCTGGGGCTGGGGATTTAGCTCAGCAGCATAAGCGCCTGCCTTGCAAGCAGGCAGTCGTGAGTTCAATCCCTGGTACCAATAAAAACGAAAAAGACAAAAAAAAAAAAAAAAAAAAAAAAGAGTTGGTCCTGGAGGGAAGATGGTGGGTCTGGGAAAAATGAGGTATGAACATCTTTGGGCTGGGGTGTGAATCTGGTGAACTCTTTTTTTTTTTTGTCTTTTTCCTTTTTATAGGCACCAGGGATTGAACTCACAACTGCCTGCTTACAAGGCAGGTGCTTATGCCACTGAGCTAAATCCCCAGCCCCTTTCTCTTTCTTGTCTAGCACTCTTGAGATCTTGGTTTAGTCCTAAGCATTAGAAAATAAAACCAAAAGACCCATCATCGTTTTCCCGATTGCTCTTCAAGGCACTCTAGCTTTGGAAGCCGAGGAGGAATTGAGGTGTGGTGTACAGAATGTTGGTGAGGCTGTTTTAACATCTTCGCATTGCCCTGTAATTTTTTCCATCTCTCACCTCTTAGCTTCTTTAGCTGGGCTTATCAACCTTGCTTTGCTCAGGGGTTGTTAACTCTGTGAAATGTGCACCACAGTACTGGGGTTTGTGTGGCATGAGCTGTGGGGAGTTCTGTAGTTTGTTTTTGGGTTTTTTTGTTGTTTTTTTGAGACAGGATCTTACTGTATGTAGCCTCGAGCTCATTGTGTAGCTCACTGGTAGGAACTCAGGATGATTTTCTACCTCAGCCTCCGAAGTACCGGATTGATGGGTGTGTGTCACCACATCTGGCTGGCTGCAATTCCTTGTTCTGCGGGGTGTGCCCATTGTACTAGGTTTGTAGGCGGTGAGCAGATTTTCCGTGAACGGGGTGTCACAACATGAAAAGTGTACCGTGTACGTAAAGAGTGTGAGGAGTGTATTACTGGAATGAAGTTAACTATGAAGGCAGCCGGCTCTGCTGTCAGGAAAGGCCGATGGAGAAACCAACGGACTGCTGGACAATGCGGGCTCTAGGACCTGGGAAGGAACAGTGCGGGGTGGAGCCGGTGGCAGCGGGTGGCGGGAGTTCCCGCGGCCCCGTGGGAGAGAAGCCTGTGGGCGTGGAGACACCTGCCTCCCGCCGGAGCCTGAGCAACCCGAAGAAGCCGGGAAGCGGGCGGTGCGATGGCGCGGTCCGGAGAAGCTGCGCTCACTCGGGGGGTGGGGTGGGGAGGGGTGGCCTGGGCTGCAGCGTGGAAGCTGGGCGGTCGCCGGAGTCAGAGAAAGGCTAGGCCGGGCCCGGGCCGAGCCCTCGGGCTCGGACTGAGCTGGGCCTGCAGCCAAACGGAGGATGGGGCTGAGGGCGGGGGCTGGAAGGTGCGGGCCCGAGGTAAGGGAACCACTGGCGTTCAAGGTGTGACCCAGCAGAGGCCCCGGATAAAGAACGCGACTGACGCTCGGGCCCGGCCGGGCGACCGCACCGCCTGGGGCGGGGGGAGGCGGGCGGGAGGTGGGCCAGGATGAGGCGGAAGTAGGGGCTGGTCTGAGGCACTGCCGAGACTGAGCTCCGAGCCGGGGAAGTCTTGTGGAAGAACGGAGAGCGATGTGGGTCAGGACAACAGTGACGATTGAAAGATGGACTGAGGAAAAACCCGGGCACGAGGACAAGAGGAAGAGCTGTGGTGAGGAGGGGCGGAGCAGGGGGCTGGGGCGTGGCTGGGGGCCGGCTTCGAGCGCGGCCCCGGGGTGCTGCAGGGAGGCGGGTCTTGACGGAGGAGGCGGGGCCAAGCGCTTGTCTGGGGGCGGGCTCTCGTGAACCGTGGGCCAATGATTGGGGAGGGCTAAAAGTCTGGAGCAGTCGGTTGCAGCCGAACTGCAGCTCGGTTTGCAGGGTGAGAGGGTCTGTCTCTGTTCTATTTTCAGCTGCAAGCTCAGGCAACTGGTGTGGGACACTGGGCTTGGCCGAAGCCCGTGGCCTATAGCTACCTAAGCGCCGGGGCGGGGAGGGGGGAGCTGTTCATTGACCTCCACCGGGACGCGAAAAGTTCTGTGGGTTCCATGCGTGACATCACAATCGTGTCCGGCTGGGGGCGGGATCAGGAGGCATCTCCAAGGAGACGAGGGTCCACTGCCTCTCCCTTACACTGTCCTATTCCCTCCCTCTCCTAGTTTTTTCCCTTCCTCCCTTCCTCCCCTTCTCACTTTCGCAGCTCTAGTGCGGGTTCGCTGGAGCCTCTGAGGCTGGGGAGCTTGGCCCGCTGCCCACTGGGAAGATTCTGTACTGATGAGTATCACTTGTAAGTTTTGAGTTAGGCCTTGGGCTTAATGCTGTATCGAGGAAGGTTCCACAAGCTCTGTCTTCCTTTGAGATGTTCCTTATAAAATCCCTGTGTTACCGCTGCTGCTGTCAGGGCACTCTTTTGTACTCTTTGGAACTAAAGAGCAGGTGGTTTTTCTCAGTGCTAAGGAGAGTTAGTCTGTCTTTCCCTCGGCTTTCCTTCCTCCCCTCCACAAGTAGCTGGTGACTGTCTGCTGGATAGTGAGACAGTGGAAAACAGGCGCTGACTCTGCACAGGAACACCTTCAGGGTGACCAGAGCCAGTTGAGTGAGAACAGAGTTTTGGTCCAGACCCACTGTCAGGCACTTACCTCATGCCCTTAGGGTCCAGGTAGGATAAAGGAGGATATGGGGTTAGGATTGAGAGGGTGAGGAATTAGTGTTGGAGCTGGAAAGCTGGTGCTGTGGGAGGTGGCAGCTGGAAGGGTAGGTTTTGGTTAGGGAAGTGAATGTGGTTTTAAGAGTTGGCTGTGGTGTTCATGGCATAGAGTATTTGTATTTGTATTTGTTTGTGTCTCTCTCCAGCCAACAGTAAAATAGGCCTGAAAGTGTACAGAACTTGAAGCCAGGAAGACCTGGATTTGAATCCTTTTGCTGTCAACCTATTTCTGGGAAAATTCCTTTTCCTCCTTGAGTTTCTATGTCCCCATACATAGAACTTAAAGAAATCCAGCACAGCACTTGGTGATGTGAAGGTGTGCATTCTGAGTCAAGTGTCTTTCCCCTAGTGGTAGGATGCTTGCCTAACTCGGAGTGAAGCCCTGGGTTCAATCTGCAACAAAACCCCCCTGTAATCCCAAAATGCCTTGAGGTTTGAACCTTGGACAGAATCTCCAGTACCTCTTTGTGGATCCAGTAGAGGTTTAGTGAGTTCTGTTTATGTATTCATTTAATTAACTGACATTTACTGAGCACTTTTCCGCGGTTCTGTGGATACAGAGGCAAATGAGATACTGTTTTCTTCTCAAGGAGCTATGAGTGTACAAATGTCACAAGCTCCAGGTACTATTGCAGCTGGTGAAAAGGGTCAAGACAGGTGATTTTTGTTTGTTTTGAGACAGGGTCTCACTATGCAGATCAGGCTGGCCTTGAACTTACTTGTAGCCAGGCTGGCCTCAAACTCGAAGTGATCCTCCTGCCCTAGCCTCCCAAGTGCTGGGATTATGGCATGGGCCACCACACCCAGTTTGTCATTGATGATCTTTTCTACTTGGATAGCATTGTTCTCTGGAAGATGAGCTGGTATATTTTGAGTGGCAAGCAGGAGAGAAGGAATGGAATAACGAGGGTTAGATGGGAAAAACTGACAATTGAGGAAGGAACTAGGATCTGGTTCCTAGGGAGCCTGCTATGTTATGATTAGGATCTTGACCTTCATCATGAAGGCAGTGGGGTGCTATTAAAAGTGAAAGTGATAGCATTTTGGAAAGCTCAGCCTGGCTATATTTGAGGACTGGAGGAGGGTAGAGAGACAGGAAGTGGAGAGGCCACACACGAGGCCACTGCAGCTGTCAGTTGAGGAAACTCCAAACCAAGACAGATGTTAGGGACAAGTCTCTGTCATTAGATTGGTGGGGAAGTGAGGCAAATGATGATTCCTAGGCAAGTTGTCTGTTGCTCTCTGAAAAGAATGTAATAAGAGCTTTAAGGCAGTGGGTAGTAAGATGGTAGATTTGTGTAGTACATGTTGCATGGCAGGAAAGCATCCTGGGATTCAGGATAAAGTTCAGTGGTAGAGTACTTGCCTAGCAAATTTGAGGCCCTAGGGCCAATCCCTAGCACTGCAAATAAATAACCTGAGTGAGATGCCACATACCTGTAATCCTAGCACACTGAGAGGCCAAGACAGGAGGACTAAACTTTGAGCCTAGCTCAGACAATTTAGTGGAACATGTCTCAAAACAAAAAATTTTAAAAAGGGCTGAAAATATAATGCAGTATGAAGACCCTGCATTCAATCTCCAGTACTGGAAAACCAAATAAATATAAAAAAGATAGTAAAGTAAAAAGTCAAGAAAAGTCTGAATTTAAAAAGGTGGAGCTGCGTGTCACTTTATTTATCCAGGACAAGCTTGTAGAGTTCAGCCTTGCAGGGGGTAGTCAGAGACAGCCCTGCTAGTCAGCAGTGTAAGAGTGCAGGAGAGAAGAGTAAACAGCATTCGAGGCAGGAAAGAACGAAAAAGCTAGTTGGAGAAGGAAGAGACAGATGAGAGAGGTCCAGCGTGGAAGCCCAAGCAACAGACTATAGAGAAGATTAGTCAGCAGGGCCAGGTGAGATGAGAGGGAAAGAAGCCCCCTGGGCTTGCCTACTGGGAAGCTTCTGGTGGTCTTGGCCTAAGCGATTCTTTTTTTTTTTCTTTTGGTACCTGGGATTGAACCCACAACCTCCTGCTTACCAGGCGCTTATGCCCTAGTTGCCTAAACTATAAAGGCAGATGGCTGTGGTGGTATAGGTGGCTTGACTAGAAAGGGTGAAATCTTTGAACTTACAAAAGGTAGGGTCTCAGCTGCCTGCATTGGTCAGTACTAGAGCTGTGCAATATGTCTATTCAGTGAATGAGATTTTTTTTTTTCTTTTTTGAGACAGGGTCTCATTGTGCTGATTAGGTTGGCCTTGAGCTCACTTTTTAGCCCAGGCTGGTCTCAAATTGGCAACAATCTTCCTGCCTCAGTCTCCCAAGTACTGAGATTACAGGTGCTACCATGCCCCGCTAGTGAATGAGTTTTAAAAACTTGACTTGAAGGTGGATATGGTGGCAAATTCCTGTAATCTCAGCACTTGGGAGGCTGAGGCAGGAGAATATATACAAGTTTGAGGTCAGTCTGGGCTACACAGTAAGTTCAAGGCCATCCTGAACTATATAGCATCTGAGACCTTATCTCAAAAAAAAAAAAAAATCCTCATTTTGACAAGACAGGCGCATTCAGGTTAATAAAGCTACCAAAAACCCTTGTATTGAAAAGGATAAAGGAACTATGCAGTGGCAGAAGGAGAAACAGCACTGATAGAATGTTTTGTTTAAGAGGTTGAGATCCTATCTCAAAAAGCAAAGTTTTGTCAGGTATGGTGGCATAGGCCTGTAATTCAAGCCTCCCAGGGCCTGAGGGAGAATTGCCATGAGTTCCAGGGCTAGCCTGGGTTATGTAGCAAGTTCAAGGCCAGCCTGAACTACATAGTGAGACCCTGTCTCAAAAGAAAAAAAAAAAAAAAAAAAGCCAGAGATACTGTTCAGTGGCACAGCATCCTTCTGGTAAACACGAGGTCCTGAGTTTGATTTCTATACCCCTCCCACAACCAAAAAACACTGAGAATGTAGCTCAGTAGAACTCTTCTGTAGCATGCACAAGGCCCTGGATTCAATCCCCAGCTCTGCAAATGTCCCCTCAAAGAATGTTTTGTTTCAAGAGCTGTTTATAGCCTGTAATGGGAGGTAGGCAGTGAGAGCCAGCCGAGGGGAAGGTGAGCAGGGGCAGAACTGTTATCCTCGCACTTAGGGAGGCTAAGGCAGGATCCCAAGTTAAGAGTCCTGCTTGGACAGTTTAATGAGATCTTGTCTGTAAATAAATGAATAAAGGGGCTGGGGATTTAGCTCAGCGGCGTAAGCACCTGCCTTGCAAGCAGGTGGTCGTGAGTTCGATCCCCAGTACCGATAAAAATGAAAAAGACAAATAAATAAATAAATAAATAAATGAATAAATGAAGAGAGGGTGTCATTCTGGGTGGTTCCTATAGTACAGATGCTTTGGGCATGATGATGGAAGCACCGTGGAAGTGGCCACAGCATGTGATGGTGAAATTATCTGCTACGTGGACAGCAGCAGTGCTGGAGTTCCCTGAAAGTGCTTGAAGTCATTTATTAATATACTTTGAGTACTCACTCTGCTGTGGAAAACTGGCGATGATCAGAACCTGCAGTGGGGTGACCAAGTGCTGCTGAGGAGCCAGAGGAATCAGCTTTCAATTTTTGTTTTTTGGCTGGGGATTTAGCTCAGTGGCACAAGCGCCTGCTTGGCAAATGGGAGGTTGAGAGTTTGATCCTGGTACCAAAGAACAAAAACAAAACAAAACAAAAAGCCAAAATACAAAATCCTTTTTTTTTAAAGCAAGTTCAGAAAAAAAAAAAAAAAAAAAACAAGGTCAGCAAACAAGCTGGGGATATGGCTTAGCTGTATAGCATCTGCCTGGCAAGCAGGATGCCCTGAGTTTAATTTTTGGTACAAAAAAACAAAAAAAGCAGGATCTTGTTTGAGCTAGTAGCCCAGGCTGGTCTTGAACCTGCAGGGATCCTCTTGCACCAGCCTCCTAAGATTACAGGCGTGCACCAGCACACCCAGCCTAGTTTCCCTTTTACTTAAATAAACCTCCAATCCTCAAAGGCCAAACCTCTGGCGAAGGTATAGCTCAGTGACAGGGTTCTTCTCTCATTGTGTGAGGCCCTAGATTCAATGACAGCACATCAGAAAGTTGGAGTTCTGCCCAGGGACACCCTCGGACCAGGCTCCGTACTTCTGGGGCAAGTTCTGGAGCCCTTGGCTCAATCTCAGCCCATTCCTAATCATCAAAACTCCAGTGATGCTCTTTCCAAGAAGCCTCCCATAATCTCTGACCCCATCTCCAGTCTTGGCAGGTGGCCCTTCTTCTGCACTCCCTGTCTCTGTCTGCAGCACACTGCTATTGTTAACCTTCCCTGCATCCCTCTCCTAACAACCTCTTTCCTCAGTTCTTTGATGGCAGGGAATTTTTTTTCTTCCGAGACAGAATTTTGCTCTGTAGTTTAAACTGGACTTGAACTCATGGCAATCCTCCTGCTTCAGCCTCTTGAATGCTGGGATTAAGGGCGTGTACCACCACACTTGGCTTTATGTTTTTTTGTCTTTTTTTTTTTTTAATTGTACTGGGTATCAAACTCAGGACTGCCTGCTGAGCTAAATCCCCAGCCCCCTATGTTGTTCTTTTTAAGCCTCCCTATCTCTGTGATGCAGCAGGGGCCCACACTTTCTCAGGATACACTCAATGAGTGAGTGATATGGGGAGGGAACTGCCACTGTTAACGCCACTGTGTTCTCTCTCAGATATAAACAGGTTACCCGGCTGGGAGAGAAGACATCTGCCTGAGGCAGCACCTAGCACTGATGCATCTACCTTCTCTGAAGGTGGGTCCAGATCTCTGGCCTTGGGTCCTCTACCCCTCACTTGGGAAAGCTAGCATGTTGGTGGAGGGAAGGATATTTGGTCCTGAAGAGGTCACACATGTCCCATTCTTGTTTCCTATAGATACATAAGAAGGTCTTTTTTTTTTTTTTTGGCACCAGGGATTGAACTCATGACCTCACGTTTGCCAAGCAGGCATTTATGCCGCTGAGCTAAACTCCCAACCCTAGGAAGTTCTTTTTTTTGTCTTTTTCATTTTTATCGGTACTGGGGATCGAACTCACGACTGCCTGCTTGTAAGGCAGGCACTTATGCTGCTGAGCTAAATCCCCAGCACCCCCCCCCCACTGGGTATTTTGAAGGTAAGGAAATGAAGGCTCAGAAAAGTAAATTTGCCCTAGGTCACTCACCTAGTGAGCCAAGGCTGACTCCCAAGTACAGGACATGTGTCACTGTGCAGCCTTTGCCTTGCTCAGCAGTGGCAGGGAAATTTAAGGTAGGGACATTGGTCCTGCCACACATGGCTCCACATCCCATTCCCTCACCCTGGGATAGAGAAAGGGTGTAGGGGGGAAAGGTCACCAAGTGAGTCAGGGGTTGGTTATGGTAGGGACCTTTGGGGAAAAGCAAGCAGCCACACTCTCATCCTTAGCACTTTTTGGTCACCTTGCTTTCCATACCCTTGGCTTGGTAGCCAGCATGAAGTCTTTCTATGCCTTGTGGGAGCTGGATATAGGCACAGTCCTCATGGCCTGTGAGGGGGCCTAGCCAGCCAGGAATTAACCTAAGGTTGCCAAGGAACTCATCAGTGCAGCCCACTTTTTCCATGGTGATTTCATGCCAGGGACACAGGCAAGAGGGCCCCTTGTCCTCTGCCTGGAGTATGAAATCTTGGGTTCCTGGCCTGGGAGAGGCACAGAGTTACCTACGGGTTTGTTTTAGACTGTGGTAAGGGCAGAGCCAGGCTAGACTGGAGCCCTAAAGCAGGCACAGAGGTGAGGTAGCAGGGGTGGCCATGAGAAACTCCCACAGCTGAGCAAAGGAAGGCAGGAGCCTTTATTCAAGGATTTTTTTTTTTTTTTTTTTTTTTTTTTTTTTTTGCGGTACCGGGAATCGAACTTATGACCTCGTGCCTGCCGGGCAGGCAGTTATGCCACTGAGCTAAATCCCCAGCCCCTCAAGAATATTTTTTTATTCCTAGTTCCTATCCTGGCAGCTTCCAATTGCTGGGAAAGTGGACCTGGCATCTGTGCTGACAGGGAGAGGGTGCAGGCTGGTGTGGGTGGTTTACTGTGCTTCTAACTTGAGTAAGGAGCAAGGGCAGAAAGGAGGGGAGTGTGGGAAAGGGAGAAGTGAAAAGAGTGTCTGGAAGGAGAATGAAAGTGGGTAGGGTAGGGAAGGTTAAGAAGGATCAGCCCAGGAGCTGAGTGTGGGGGTATAAGCATCTTGGGAGGCTGAGGCAAGAGGGAGTGCAACTTCCAGTCCAGCCTGGGAAACTCAGTGAAATCCTGTCTCTAAATAAAAAGCTGGGTATGGTGGCAGCCTCTAATCCCAGCATTTGAGAGGCTTTGAGTTCCAGACGATCATGAACTACATGGTGATACTCTGTTTCAAAAAACAAAACAAAACCAGTCCGAACCACTGCTAAATTTGACTGGCTTAAAAAAAAAAAAAAAAAAAAAAAAAAAAAAGCACCCTGCTTTTGTGGTCAGCTCTGTGCTTCTCCAGGTTTGGGTTGCCATACCACTGCAGATTTTGGGGCCAGAATGCATCAGGGCCCATGAGGTCAGATGGGTCCAGAAGCTGGTAACTCTTAGCTGCTGGGTGAGGGCAGGAGTCAGTGGAGGGCCACAGAAGGAAGAGGAGGTAAGGGACAGGATACCATGGGGCAATGTGGTTAAGTTGGGAAGACCACCCGTGTACCAGACAAGGCACTACACATGTTCCAGGGACCCTGCAAAGGCAGGTGGCTTCTTGCAGTGGGTGAGGGACAAGGCAATGTTGTTAGCAGTACTGACACAACTCTTGGGGGTGGGGCATATAAATGCAGTGAGGCCTTTAGACCGAAGGTGCCCCTCCTCCCTCAGGGGAACATAAAGAGCCTGAGAGATGCTGCTGGAAACACACACAGTGTGCCGGACACGTCATCCAACCCTTCACTGACTGTGGCCACCACAAGCTGTATCTACACACTGTTACCCACTGTGACTGTGACTCCAGGTAAGGGTACTCTCTGTGGGGGATCCATGGTGGGACGCAAACTGTTTCCCCTTCAGCCTTTGGTTTTCTCTTCAGCTGTGGCTTGATAGTGCTAGCCCAACCCCAACCTGAACTCTTGTGCTCCAAAAGTAAGGGGGAAGTCTTATGGCAGCCTGGCCAAGCCTAGCCACAGCCCACTGTCCCTTTGGCTTCTATCTCTGGACCCCTGTGTGTTGTGGGTAGGGGGAGCCACATGTGGTGAGAGTCCCATGTGTGGCAGGCTAAAGGACTGCTCAGAGAAGGCAAATAGCAGCAGCTGTTGGGACTCGAACTCAACCTGCTCCCAAGATGTGGGCCCAACATGCTTCAACATCATCCAGAGCCCTTGCTACCCACTCATCCCAGACGAAGAGCGTGTGGAGCGGTTCTGGTATGGCTGGTGAGTGCTGGCAGGCTGAGGGAGGAGGGACACCAGGGTTTCACTCCATCAAATCTTCTTTTCATATCCCCTGCCTCCCAGGCGCAAAAGCTATAGGCCTATCTCTGTGGCAGTGATCCACCATCCTATCCACCATGAGTGCAGGACAGATGACCTAAACGAGGATGCAGATGAAGAGGAAGAGGAAGAAGAAGCAGCAGAAAGAGGAGGAGGAGAAGAAGAAGAAAGTCAGGCTTTCATCCCAACCCAGGTGGGACCCACTGTTCTGCCCACAGACCCAGGCCTGGGCACAGTCCCTGGGGCCCCTGACTCAGCCGCGCCCATCACCATCTGGCGTTCTGAGAGCCCTACAGAGAAGAGCCCCTGCAGCAAGGTGATCAAGAAGATAAAGAAGAAAAAGGAAAATGAAAAAGACAAAGGGGAGGAAATGAGTGATGAGAAGGCAAAACCAAAGAAAAAAGCCAAGAAGGGGAAGTTGACAAAGAAGAAAAGTCCACTGAAATCAGAGTCTTCACCTGCAGATTTGAGCCAATCATTAAGCCCAAGAGAGTTGGTCCGGACGTCAGAGTCCAGCCCAGATAGCCAAGCAGACCTGGACAGTGAGGACAGTTACCGTAATAGGAAGCAAGAGGAGCCCTCCAGTGAGGATTTCATGGAGTCATCATCACCCAGAAAAAGAGAGAAGAGCACCACCCAGGCCAAGAAGAATGGGACAAAGACCTCCCACACCAGAAAGGTGACCAAGAGGAAATCTCCGCCAGTGTCCAGCCCCAATCTCAGTTGAGGGCAGGGTGAAGAATAAATGACATCAAGCCTGTAGCTGACCTGCTGCTGTTCTTCGAACAGAGCTACTTCTTGGGGGAGGCAGTGGGCTCAGGGCATATCGGAACCAAGTTTCAGGAAGTACAGGAGTTTTCTAAAGGCAATGCAACTTCCAAGGAAATCCATGGGAAGATAAATGGGAGGGAAGTTGGGTATAGCTGTTTCTTTGTAACATCCTAGGACCAGGGTAGAAGAGTACCTCTGGGGTTTGGGCAGGAGGATAGGCTTCCTGCCCTTGGGAGACTGGTACGTGTGAAAACCACTTCTGGGATAGGGCAGCATCATGCATTAATACCACCAATAAACTGGACTTTCTCACCCTCTCTGCCACTGCCTGGCTTTTCACTCCTTATATGGCCTTCAGGAAGGTGCTTATGGCACCACAGGGACTTTCCTGTCTAGTGTGGAGCTGTTCCTGCTAACAAAACTGAGTTCCCAGCAGCAGGGCAGCCTCTTTTTCTGACTTTTGCTAACAAACAGCTGAAAAGGTCCTGACTGAAGAGCAGTTGGAGGGAGCGCGCCAACTCTGGGCAGCAGTGGCCTTTTCTGACTCCTTTGCTATGCTCCAAGCAGACAAAAGGGAGAAGCCTCATGTCTAGCATTGACTCAAAAAGCTGTGAAATGAAGCCTTATTGAGAAAACTGGGTGATCAGGATTCAGAACAAAAAGGCAGGGGAGCTGGGGAGTGGAGTAGGGTGGGGAAGACGGACTGGAGCCAGAGGGCTGGTTGGGCCAGAGCCAGGAAGGGTGGTGGGAGATGGGAAATGGCTTCCACTGCAACATCCCAGCTCCCTTTCCCTAGGCCTCTGTGAACGTGTGAGTGTGAGAGAATGTGTGTGTATGGCCAAAACCCTGACTAGAGGTTGTCAGAGACCAAGGAACACCTGGGCAAAAAGAAAAAGTGGCTAATACAGGGGCTCAAGATTTACTTTGGGAAGCCCCTTCTCCACTACACAGGGAAGACCACCAACCCAGTCAACAGGCACTGTGTGCGTGTGTTGACAGTAGCTCATATTCATGAAGCCATGGGCAGCTCATACCTGCGGGGTCCTCATGCAGGCTGATAATGCTGGTATCACCGTTTCCCTTTTAATTTTAATGTACGTGCTGCCCAAGCAAGCACATCATCTCCCTTTCAGATAAGAAAGTAGCTTAAAACAACAAAGCTGGCACAGGATCACGGCTCAGAAGAGGGCAGGATGGTGACCTCAAGCACTTCTGAAGCACAAGCTGCCTGTTTTTCTCTGAATGCTCACTTCTAAAGATCAGAAGGACTGTGGGGGGACCTCAGAGCTTCAAGCTCTACTTTGAAAGCCACCTGGTGAGCAGATAGCTGAAGAGTGAGAGAGAGGCTTGGGCAAATTCTCTGTAGAAACACTGTTTATTCAAACAGGCAGGAAGCGCAGTGGCAGCAGGTGGATGACCAGGCAGGGGCTGGCAGGTTAGCACTGTTCTCTTATGTCCCCCACAATCCTGCTTTTATAGCCACTAGGCTCAGAAACACTTTCCCTCCTGCCCCAAACTGAATAAATAGCATCCCTCTCCCCATGAAGGCTGGGGAAACACAAGTGCTGAGCTTGTTGCCCCATCACAGCCCAGAGTCAGGTGAGGGCAGAAGCTCAAAATGGCTTGTTTGGAGTAGAATCCAAAACTGCTCCACTCTCATCATCTTCCTCCTTCCTGCCACACTCCCTCCCAGCCTGGTCCCAGGACGGGTGGTCTGTGAGCATCTGAAGTGGGAAAACTGCTGCCTGGCATACACTGAGCTCAAGCTCACAAGGCCATCAGCCTGTCACGCATCCAGGCTGACCACCCAAGAGAATGCCACTTCACACCACTTATGGACAGAAAAAGGGGCAAGGAGTGAGGCAGTGGTAGGCCTTTCACAGCCTCAGAGGCAACCAGAGTCTGAAAAGCAGGCCTCCTACCGATCCATCTCATCCAGGAGTGGGGTGGCATCGCCAGCAATGGACATGGGGGTGCTTTCGATCATGGGGCTGGGGGAAGGCCGAGGTGTTAGCCGCTGCTTCTGTTTCCGCCGTTCTGCCTCCTTCTCTTGCAGCCACTGCTCTGCCATCTTTCCCCAGTCGATAGCTGCATGGCTGTTGGACCTGAGAGAGGGAAGGAAAGGCCTCTGAGATCAGCTGTCTTCTGGGGCTTGCTGGAAGCCTTTCCACCAGTCACTCGTGGACCAAGCATAGGGAGTACCTGCTGCGCTGTGGCAGAGCAGAAGCCAAATGTCACAATGGCCTTTTGATCTTGCACTACAAATCAGTGCCTGGAGTCCTCACAAAGGATCAAAAGCACCTTTTTATCCTAAGCTCCCCAGTCCTCATGGTAACACCTGTCCCTACCAATAACTTGCTCTCTGCGGCCACCTGTATACTTACTTTGGCTGCTGCTGCCGTTGCCGGGAGCTGGAGGAGGGCTGGGGCTGGGCTTGGGCAGACTGTGGAGTGGTGCTGGCCTGGAGCTGGTGGTACTGTGGTGTGGTGATGGGTTGGCTTGGGGTTGTGTAGGAATAGCTGGGGGTCATTAGTGGCGTGGCCACTGGCTGCTGGGCTGGTGTCGGGAACACCTGGAGAAGCATGGACACATCAGTGAAGACAGGTTGTGGGGTTGTTTGATTCTGATTCAAATTTCTGTGATCTGCAAGGGTGGGCCCTGCACAGAGCTTTGCAGCTGTCTGACCACACTTTGAGCACAGTGTGGTTCTGAGCAGCAGAGGGAGGCTAGCAGTAAGGCACAGGCACCCAAGTCCACCAGTCCTGAATATTTCAGATTTCCAGTGGCTGGAGGGTTCTAAATATCCCAAAGGATTCTGGAAAGGCAGATCTTCCTTTTATTCTCTTCTCTATGCAATGGGCTAGAGAAAAGGAACATCTACTGGGGACCTTCCTTAATGTTGGCACATTTCTTATGCAAATGAAGCACCTCAAGGTGGACATAGCCAGATATCTAAGCTGGTAAGTTGGTAAGCTGGTAAAGACAACTGTTCCCATGTTCCTAACTACCCCATGCAGGGAGCCTTCTCCCCAAGCAACATACGTGGTAAGCACTGCTGCCTCCTCCACTGCCACCATAGCCATACTGGCTGGAGGCCCACTGGGCTGGGGTGGCATTAGGGTTCTGACCCTGGCCTGTTACAGCAGCAATGGCACTGAACATCTGCGAAGTCATGTTCTGGGGCAGGGCATTCACGGCCCGAGTTAGATCTGTAAGCACAAAGGTGAGGATCAGCATGTCAGAGGTGAAAGTCCCTTGGCTCTATCCCTCCCAGGCTCAGCCCTAGGTGCCTCACCTGCAAGGTTTATGTTGGCCGGGGTAGCATTGATAGAGGCAGGAGTCCTTGTCCTGCTGCTGCTGCTGGGGGTGATGCCTGTGAGAAATGGCTGGAATTAGTTTTGTCCCTCCAGAAACCTACTTCTGGCTTTCCAGTTCAAGGGTTTGGAAGGGTGGGAAGGAACTCTGTACAGGCCCAGGGGATGGAGAACCTTCCTGGTGCTAGGAGACGGGCAGGAGTGAGACAGCTAAAAGGACACCCTAGCAAGGCTAGTGATCACTTTGGTCAGGCTGTACATGTCCTTCCAAACACACCCCAGAAACTGAGGGAGAACAAAACTTACCTGGTACAGGATCTTGGTAGTGATCCTTAAACCATCTGAAAAGTCCATTAACAGTTGGGAAGATTTGGCCACGGTACCGGAATCCCTCTGGAGTCACCGTTACATATTCTATCCTGGGGTTTTAGAAGGAAGCATACTGATGTTACTTAGAGTAGCTGTGAGTGGCCAGAACAAATGTTCAACATGTGAACTAGCCACTAGGTGCCAGGGGAGAGGAGAGATGACAGAGCCTGTTGCTGCCCTGTGAAGTGAGGCTATGTGTAGCTGAGTACAGTGCAGGGCCTGCACATAGGCTGCCAAAGGACTGCAGGCTGGAGGAGGTTGTGCTACCACACAGCTGGAGTGTGAAGGCAGCATCTGCAGGTAAGGGCAAAGACAGGTCACGACGTCAGGGGACCTACCAGGGAAGTAAAGTACAATGCCCCCTACAAAGATGTTTTTCTGCCCCTAGAAAGTGGTTAATCTGCCTTTATTCAATACTTCTGAGAGAAAGAGTATAGCTAAGAGGAGGACCAGGGCTCAGACCTGGTTCTTACTCTAGTTTGAGATTTGCCACGTACCATCTAAATGACAACGCACCAAATTATTAAATTATAGTCTGCTGCTGCTGCTTTTTTTTTTTTTGGTCTTTTTGAGACAGGGTCTCACTATGCAGTTCAGGCTGGCCTTGAGCTCACTTTGTAGCTTAGGCTGGTCTCAAACTCACAATGATCCTCCCTCTTCAGCCTCCCAAATTCTGGGATTACAGGCATGCGCCACCATACCCGGCTTATGCTTCATTTGTAAAATAAGCTTAACAGTACTTCAACCCACAGTATGGGTGTAGGGATTGAGAATGTGTACACAAAATGCTTACCACAACACCTACCTTGGGTTTGTGCTCAACAAGAGCTATCAACAGCCAACAGAAAATACCATGTGGCAAAGTTCTCACATCCACCTAAAACGTGCTTCCTAAATCTTCTCCAAGTGTGAATTCTGCTATATTTGGAGAATGTGCAAAAAGTCTACACTCCTTTTCATATGAAGCCATCATGACAGATCTGCTCCTGGTTAGAGATCTCCAGCTTACTCAGCTGTTCCTCATGGCAGTTACCAGCCCTGACACGACCTTGGCTGCTGTCCTCTGGAAGCGTTGTAGGGAAAAGCTTCTCAGAGGTCTCAGAGGGAGTACAGTATTCCAGATGTGCCCACAGTATGCAAGGCTTGTCATCTGGCCTCTAGGTCCACTAATAGTCTGAGCAGTGTTTCACATGTGCCCAGTACAGGTTAAGAATAGAAATGCACATGACCTAGCCAAAAGCCAAGAGAAGGACACAGGGCAGGGCTTGGGCAGACAAGGTTGATGTGATCCCATTGATGAGTGCAAGAGACAAAGAAGGCAAGCCTAAGGAAACAGGACTCTCCTTGGGGCTCCTGGATGAGCTAGAGGCACAGGTAAATGCATGCCTTGGGAAGGGCAGCCTGCAAGTCATGTACAGAAGAGGGAGTGCAGTAGACAGAAAAATGCCCGTGGACCCATCCCCTTCATTGTGGGCATAAGAGTCAGTACACTGCACCATCAGTGAATCATTGGCTAAGAGTCTTGGGGAAGGTGAAATGGGACAGGAAGGAAAGACCAGGGTGCTGCCCTGTCTTGCACCTCAGAGTGTGGTAATTCTGGGAGACAGGTAAGATGCAGTGCTACTGAAAGTGCCAGTAAGAATCTTTAGCTGGATATGGTGGCTCATGCCTATAATCCCAGCACTCAGAAGGCTGACGCAGGAGGATCATTGCAAGTTCAAGATCAGCCTGGGCCACAAGATTAGCTCAAGACCAGCCTGAAACAGCATAGTGAGACCCTGTCTCAGAAAGGTAAAAAAAGACAAAACAAAACCCCCAAAAAACCCCTTGCCTTTGCCTCTAAATTATCATCCGCTTTCCCATCTCAAACTTCAACCTCTATTACAGGCAAGAGGAGAAAGGCAGTCAGGCAGGACCAGAGCCATGTGGCTCCCTTCCAGGCTATCTGCAGACCCCAGTGGTAGCACCTTCTCAGCACCAGTGCTCTCACCTGGGTTTACCCCGGGGCTGGTATCCCAGGAGGAACTTGCCGGGCAGTTCCTTGCAGGCACAGATGAAATAAGGGATGAAGGTGGGCTTCTCCTTCTTAGTTTTGATGAGCAGCTCCTCTAATTTCTGGGGGTAGAATGAGGGAAAGAAGTTGGGACAGTAGCATGCTTGGTACACAATGTCTGGTGCATTTATACATACACTTCTGCCATCACCCCTACATTGAAGGGAAACATACATCCTTAGAGCCTGCAAGCTGTCATCCCTCCTCAGAGGGCTCCAGGCTCACCTTGCGGTCCCCACCACTGCAGTCCTGATAATACTTGTGGTTCAGAAGGTCCCGGGCAAAGGATGCCATGGGCTGGACATAGCGGGCAACAATCTCATCCAAGTCTTCAAATTCCTGTGGGAAGAAGGTAAAGGCTCCATGTGATACATCTAGACCTGAAAATCTAAGCCCTTCATCATCAAATCCACCTTGAAGAGAAAAAGCAGGAAAGGTGGACTTCCTGGTCTTGCTAAAACTGCACTGCACTACCAGGCATTCTCAGTTTGTCACTGAGTCATACACAGACACACTGGTTCTGGAGTAGAATTCTGTGATTCTTTCCTGGTTCTTGGAAACAGTAGGAAATGTCATCAGACTTCACTCAACACAGGAATGAGAAACTTGATATGTATGTGTATGCACAATACACAGGTATTTTTTCCTTTTTCTTACTGGATTTATTTTAAAATTTGGACAGGCAAGAAGGGGACAAAAATATACAAAATGGACAAAGTTTATTCCACATCACATCTATTTGTTTGCTTGCCACAGCTAAAATACATATAATGTATCCAAGGTACTAATGTCCAATGAGAGTGGGCAGAAAGGTCTCGTTTCTGGAATCAGGAGCGGGGCTGGCAGGTAGGCATGCGTCTGTCTCACCTCACTGTTGATCCACAGCGTGGCTCCCAGGCTGAAGGCATTTTCCTTGCCCTCCTCACGCACATCCACGTGCTGATAGATGCCATCACTGACTTTCCAGGTCACGGTTAGGTGGTTCTCTCCCTTACTGCTTGGTCGGATGATAACGTCACCCTGGTCCATGGTCTCCATCATCTTTTCTGCTTGCTTGAAATTAATATTATGGAAGGATGGATGTGCAATCACTCGTTTGATATATGCTAAAGAAGGCAGGAAAGAAGTACAGACAGGTGAGGGGGCTGGGAGCCCATACAAATGGAGAGATGGGGGCTTAATTTCTGATTTGCCATACGATAACTCTTCTCCTTGAGATTCTCTGATGTAAATGACATGTTAGACTGGGTTCCTAGGATGCTGAGACAATGAGATTTAAAAGGCACAAGGCCTTAGTGAACAAATGTGACCCCAATAGTCACGTCACATACGACTTTCTTTAACATCTCTTTGCCTCAGCCCCTTCAAGTTGAGCTCCCACTCCTGCTGGGGAACTAACACACACCCCCCCCCCCCCGCCCCGTGGCCTGAGTCCTGCAATGGCAGGACTACCAAGATTCAGTGGTTACACTCAACTGGTCCGCTGCTGCTTCCGCTTCATGTCCTCCTCTTGTTTGTGGTCTGCTGCTTCAGCATCAAAGTCATAATAGGTATCTTTGGGGAGTTTCCACTCGTTGTTCCTGTCCATGAGGTCTGAGGTACGGCAGGTCAAGTCTGCACTGAACTTCTCAATGTCAATCTTCATGATGCGGCAGTGAACAGTCATTCCCACCTAGACCCACAGAACACGTGAGCTGGAAGGCACAAAAATTATGTAGCCCGGGGCTGGGGATTTAGCTCAGTGGCATAAACGCCTGCCTTGCAAGTGTGAGGTCATGAGTTCGATCCCTGGTACCGATAAAAAAAAAAAAAAAAAAAAAAAAAGATTACATAGCCCAAAGCCTTATTTCACATATGCAAAAACCAAAGTTTAAGTGGAAAGGTGGGACTTGCCCAGAGCCCACCAGCCAAGTAGTTGTTTGGGGATGTATCTGGTATGCAGACCACAGGTGATGCCTTGCACCGGTATCTCTCAGCCTAGGCAAGAAAACGTACTAGTCTGCTGGGTTTACCCTGTCACGCTTCCCTTCTCCCATAAAATTGTTATTATTGCTCCTAGGGTGTGACCAAAGGCTCACTGCCCTTTTTTGAGGAAAAGCAAAACAAGGGCTGTTTTCTGTACCTCAGTCAACTTGCTTGAGCCCTTCTGTCTAACTAGTGGCAAAATTCAGTTACCTTGCATGGCTCTCCTGCTGAAAATCTCCTCAGCTCTATTAGAAATGTGTTTATTAGTATATGTGCTCACCTTGGCAGCACATGTACTAAACTAGGAATGTGTCTCCCCAATTCTCCCATGGTTACAGCTCTCCTGGGTTCATAACACTTAGAAGCATAGAATCTGGGAGAACTGGCCTTGGCTGTATCACTGAGTGAGTGATCCTGAAAGCACATGACTTCCTCTGAAAAAAGAAAATAATCTTTTTCCCATTAGTTTATAAGATTAAAGACAATGTAAGTTCAATGTCAAGTGCTATGTCTAGTGAATGTACAGTAATGGTAGCCATGGCACAAGAAAATTAGAAAAGAGAGAGATTTACTTAGGGATCTGCTCTTAACCCTATTAGGCAGAGACCATTTGAATGTTTCTTCTTTGTCATCTGCTTTGTCATCTGTGCTGTACAAGCCCTGAGGTGGCCTGTGCTTGGGCTGTGGCACACATTTTTATCCATCTCCTAGAACAGTGCCACCTGGTCTTGGGAGAACAGGCAGAGCCTTTCTATTTCACAGCATGCGATGCTAAGCCCTGCTTCTGCCCTCTTCCTAAATGGCAGCTTCCCACACAGGAAGAGAGCTCACGCTCAAAGGCTGGCAAGAGGCAGAAACTGCCTTAAGAAAGGCTGTGGACAAAGACAGCTACTCATTCAGATGCTGCTCACTGCAGCCTCCCCCAACTAGTTAGAAATCTCTGCTGAAACTCCACCAGCAGGGACTGGGAACAGAGCCTAACTTCCAGAGGGGAAAGCCCTAAGTTAGAGAATCTCACTGCTCTGATCCTAGGCCAGTCATTCATCTACCTTTACTCGCTCCTCTGGTCGCTTTACCACTTTGTCACTGAGGAATTTGGTGGGGATGAAGCCAGTGACACCATTGTCTAACCGTGTTTTGACACCAATTGCCTGGCCTGGGCACGAACCGCTGTCAAAGTGGTTCCAGACCTAGAGAAGGAATGAGGAAAGAAGGTTGATCGTTAAGATTCTAGAGATCACACATTCAGAAAAAAAGCAGACACCTGGCACTGGCAGAAAAGTCAGTCACAGGCTGAGAGACTTTTAGCATCTACGATGTTCCTTGACTCACAGCTGACATTTGGCATCACAGGCCATTAGCTGAATGTGTCATGCTGATCTGATGTACATCCTGCTAGCTCTTCCCCATTTGTCCTGCCCTAGTGAGCACAGAAATGTCTACTCAGCCTTCTCAGTTCACTAAGTGAATCAGGAATCCCGTGGTTGTCTTAGGTTCTGGAAAAAAACCACCACCTTTCTACTGGGTAAAGTTGAGAACAAGAACTTTTACAATCTGCTAATATCTTAAGGCCCAGGAAAAGTTTGTTTGATTTAGTATTTTGAGACAGTTTCACTATGCAGGTCAGGCTGGCCTGTAGGCCAGGCTGGTCTCAAACTTGCAACAATCCTCCTGCTTCAGCCTTCCAACTGCTAGGATTATAGGAGTGTGCAACCACACCTGGCTCTTTTACTTTTCTTTAAATTTTAAAACAGGATCTTGCTAAATTGCATAGGATATTGACTACTGACCTTATGATCCTTCTGTCTCAGTTTTCAGAGTGCCTGAACTACAAGTGTGTACCACTATGCCTGGCTTAAGTGATTTTTGACCACCAAAAAGACAGATGACATTTAGAGGCATGTGGGATGAAATTAAACAGTGTGAAGAACACAAAAATTGAAAGAAGCCAGGTGTGGTGGTGTAAATCTGTAATCCCAGCACTCAGGAAGCTAAGGCAGGAGGATCAATGTGCATTTGAGGCCAGCTTACACTCCACAGTGAGTTCAAAGCTAGCATGAACTACAGAGCAAGACCCTGTTTCAAAAAACAAAAAACCAGAAGGGGAAAGGAACATGAAGGTGTCTTCTAAGAAGCATACACAGGAACATTATGTCTACACTGCAGGAAAGAAACATGTCTTTCCTTCCCTAATCTGGTAGTGACCTCTTTGGAGAACAGGACAAGAATTAAGGGCTAGAGTGACCATGCCAGAAGAAAGGAAAATACAAGTAATTTCACAGTAGCATTCTGTATGACCTCTACTTGTTTTCTTTGTATACTTGTTTGATAAAAATATGGTCTAAGATACTCCTTTCAGATTTCATTCTAGATCACCAAGCATGCAATTCCAAGAAATCCACTGCACATGGTGACGCGTCAGCACACACCTCACTCAGTTCAGGGAAGTTGTCCTGCTGACAGAAGGGGCACTGCCACAGCCCTGTCTCATCGTTCCGGATTGCCTGGTCGTAGCTCTCACCCTGTGGACGCCTGTGAGCAATGCCAGTGACATTGCAGATGATGAGCTTTCCTGAAAGAGCAGGGATAGAAAGGGACAGGCTGAGAGGATTGAAGGGAGGGCTCTTTCACACCATCTTTCCTGACAGAATATCCGACTTAACATATCTTTACTGATCACCTTTCCCTCCTGAAGGTACACCTTCCCCCAACTAGATGGTAAGGGACAATGAGGGGCTTTAGAGTGACCCATTAAGAGCCCAAAGCAGGTTAGAAGCGTAACTGTGTATTGTTTTTTTAAAGTTCCTTTGGTCTTCCCTACGTGTAGTACAAACCTGCCTCATTCTATTGGAATCACATTCTGGGTTCCCCAACCCATTCTCCTCTAACTAAAAATACATCCCTAGAACTAACCAATGTAGAAAGTTTCTGGTGTTTCTTTGGTTAACATATTGAAGATCTCCTCTGTATTAGGAGAGCGGTATGCTGTCCGGAGGTCCTTGTATCGACAACTCAGTTCTGCCCGGATGTCATACAGTGTGATGTGTTTGTCACCGTAGCCCTGGAAAAAAAAAGTGTATCAGGCAAACTCTTATAAATTGTTTCCCAACTTGAGTCATGAAGGACTGTTTATTTTTTTGTCTTTTTTTTTTTGAGATGGGGTCTCCCTATGCAGTTTAGGCTGGCCTTGAGTTCACTTTGTAGCCCAGGCTGGTCTCAAACTCGCAAGGATCTTCCCACCTCAGCCTCCGGAGTGCTGGGATTACAGGCGTGAGCCACCACGCCCAGCTAGGACTGTTTTTTTTTTTTTTTTTTTTTTTCAGAACCGGGACTTTTTTTTTTTTAGAACGGGAATCAAGTTCAAGACCTCACACTTACTTATTTTTTTTGGCACCAGGAATTGAATGTGGGACCTTGCGCTTGCCAGGTAGGTGCTGTGTGGCAGCACCTCTATCTCCAGCCACCCTCTTTTTTTAAAAATCTTTTTCATTTTTTATCGGTACCAGGGATTGAACTCACGACTGCCTGCTTGCAAGGCAGGCGCTTATGCCGCTGAGCTAAATCCCCAGCCCCCAGCTCCTCTTTTTTTGTCTTTTTGAGACCTGGTTTCACTATGCAATTTGGGCTAGCCTTGAACTCACTTTATAGCTCAGGCTGATTACAAACTCATCAGGATTCTCCTGTCTCCACCTCCTGAGTCCTGGGATTATAGCCATGTGCCACTGAGCCTGGCTTTTTTTTTTTTTTGACACAGGTTCTCACTATGTAGTTCAAGCTGGCCTTGAACTCAGTATGTAGTCCAGGGTGACTTCAAACTCACAGCAATCCTCCTGACTCCGCCTCCTAAGTGCTGGGATAACAGGTATGTAATGCCACATATGGTTCCCATGGGGGATTTCAAAGAAAGTAATAGGCCAGTTGGCTCCTATCAAGCCTTCTTACCTTCCTTCCCATTATTTATTAAAGGCTTTCTTTCTTTTTTTTTGAAACTGGTTTCTCTACCACTGAGGTACATCTCTAGCTCTTTCATTTTTGAAATAAGTTCTTTTTTTTTTTTATCGGTACCACATATCGAACTCACGACTGCCTGATTGCAAGGCAGGTTCTTATGCCGCTGTGCTAAATCCCCAGCCCCGAGATAAGTTCTTACTAACTTGCCTATTGCAGAAAACTATCCTCCTCCTGGCTGCTGGGATAGTGTAGTTAATATGCCTAGTTCACTAAAGTTTTCAGTCAGCCATGAGATGCTTTAATGAAAATGCTTTATGAAAATTCCACATGAAAAACAAATGTAAGGCTGCACTGATAGGAGGAAAGAAGGTATAGAAGGAAATTCTAGAGCTGACATCCTTCTAACTCCTTCCTGCTCCTCACAATTATGGTCACATGTGAGACTTTTCTGGCTCCTTAATAAGCTTGTGAAAAAGTCCTCAAAAAACCTGGTAGCGCACAGGCTGAGCCTGGAGCCTTCTGTGCTAACAGTATTGGGATTTCCCTGGACAGCTGCTGTCCAAGTTTCCTCCCATCCAGGACATTTGGGATGAATTTTTGTGCCAGGCCTTCCACTGTCACCACCAACCTGTCTCTCCAGTTCTTCTGCAAAAGCATCAAGGTCCAAGTCCTTGAGTCGTTCTGGGTTTTCCAAGATTTCTTCGAGGGCTCCTGCAGGATTGGCATCCTCAGCTGACTCATCATATTCTAGGGCATCTACTGCCATCTTCCTGGCCCACTCGTAAGTCTCAGGGTGGACTCGGGAACCATCAAGGACTTCAATATATGAGTCAGTGCTGAAGGAAAAGCAGAGAAGGAAAAGGATATGGAACAACAAGCTTCTAGGAAGAACCCAAATGTCCACCAATGGGGAGCTGGTTAAATAAATCAGGGCACCTCCATATGATTAAAAAGAATGAGATAGATCTATGTGTGCTGACATGGGAAGATGACCACAATATACTGATACGTGAAAATGCACTGCAAAACACTATGAACTGTATGATCCTATTTTTGTAGTAAATGGGTAGTTAGTAAATGCATAGCAAAAATAAAATTTAGAAAAACTGTACTGTACATAAAGTTTGTTATGGTAGTTATCTCTGGGAAGTGAGATTATGGGGGACTTGCACTTTCTGTATAATATTTGTTTATGTTGATTTTTATATAATGAACTTACATGAATCTTAGGAGAGGATGAACAAGAAGGGGGAAAAGACCTTTGAAAATTTGCTGACAGCTGTTTTCCCCCATAAAGCCTTCCCAGGCTGATCTTGCCCGTGCACTCACATGGACCTATGTTATTCGTGGAGTGTTACAGCAAAGCTGAGTGGAAAATGAAGTTTTAGAACTTGAAGCCTATTTCCCCACTGACTTCCATTACTGAATGAGGAGCTATGTGCCCGTGGAAAAGATCCTCCAAAGACTGAGTTGATAACTTCTGGAGAGGAAGAGGTCAATAGTGAAGTCCAAAGTCCAAGTGAATAGAACTTTCTCTTAATAACATCATCTTAAAACAACAAATCTCTCTCCCCTTCTATGTTCTCTCATACCCACACTTTCCATTGCCCGTCCTATTCCCACCCTTATCTGGCTGCAACAAACCACAGAAACAAAAGAAGCTTGTGTCCACTGAACAAAATCTTAGTTTTGGTTCTTTAATTTGTAATCTAAATTGGTTCTCTGATGTTTCTCGCATGAAAAAGGCCCTAATAATTGAACTGATCTTTTCCATAGGTCAGGGGCTCTTGAAATACATATATTCCTTACCTTTGCATTTGTTTTTTTACTTGAGACAGGGTCTCACTATGTAGTTCAGACTGGCCTTGAACTCATTATATAGCCTAGGCTGGCCTTGAACTCACAGCAATCCTCCTGCCTCAGCCTCCCAAGTGCTTTGATTACAGGCTACCAGGCCTGGTTCCTATCTTTTCTTTAAACATTTTAAAATTTAAATGGCTCGGGACCCTCGATATCCCTAATGCCCTGAAGCCCCAAATTTATAGCCCAAGGGAATGTCTTCTGGCCCATCTAGGCAGAGGGCATCACCTGTCCCCCAGGGAGGCTGTGTCAATCTTGAGGAAGCCAGCACAATTCATGAAGACTTTGGGACCCATGTGACACATGGTGACCAGCTGGGTCCGGCTTTCAAGTCTAGTGTTGTTCTGCTTCAGGATCTAGGGGAGAAAGCTGGAGTGAGCGAAGGCAGTAACCAGGTCCTATATCCCTAGCCTGCTTTCCAATCCCCATAAAACCCTCCATGACTCCATGGTTGAACACTGTCTCCCCTCAGTATCTAATTGAACACAATACCACATTATCTACTATCTACCATTAAAATAACTTCATTAATGAGGATGTTATACCTATCAAAGACTATATACAGGTTAATGTACAGCTTAAAAATGTGACATGCCACAGTCACCACTACTCATCATTTTTGTTTCTTTGAGACTATGCTATTCAAGCTGGCCTTGAAGACGAGAACCTCCTGCCTAGACTCCCCAAGTGTGGGGATTATAGGACTGTACCACCATGCTCAGCCCCTATTACTCATCTTAAGAAAAAAATTGCCAATAGCTTTGAAGCTCCACGCACATTCCTCTGAGAAACGTCATTGTCCTGAGATTTTGTGTTGAACATTCTTTCCTGCTTTCTTCTTTGTTTTAAATCGCCATTTTTCAATGAGCCTTAGAGTACAGGAGTGGGAACATAAGCTTAGCCACTAAGGTCTGAAATGAGACTCTCTTACTAGCTGCCTGACTCTGGACAAGTGACTTTTACTTCTCTACTTTTTGGGCTTCCTAATCTGTTAAATCATACTGATAAAATACATGTTTATAATGAAATGGTAATTTCTGAATTTCCTGATTCAATTCAATCCTACCTTCAGAAGGTGGGTCCCTTTTCGAGGTCCCAGGCCACAGACATACTGGATCAAAGCCTGGCTGTAAGGGTGGGCAATGGCACGGTTGACATCGACCCCGACCTCATTGACTCGGTTGATAAATTCACAGTATAAGGAATTGAGCAGTTCTTCTTTCACAACATGTTCCTATCAACATACAGCAGATAAGGATAAAGTTACTGTGCTTTTCGGCTCATCTAGCCTGTCTGTCACATCCTACTCACCTGCAAGGGGTGAAACTTGAGACACAGGATGTCTTCATCGGAGCTGCACACCTGGGCAAACTCTATCAGAGGGTCTTGGATGCGCCGGGCCAGGGAGACAGCTTGTCTCAGTACTGGAGGGTAATCCCGGAACTCTGCCTGGAGTCAATGAAGGTCATTCAAGGGCGTTAAGGTTTTCTCAGTGCCACCAGAAGGAATGTAAATCACTGTAGCTTGAAGCCATTTTTAATTATGACACCTTTTGTCATCAAAACACTTTAATCTCTTGGGCTCCCAATCTGTGCTATGACTGGCAACATGGAAAACCACTGCATGGATGAGTAAACAGATGAAGTAACAAGCCCTGGTAACCTTTGTTTACCTATTAAAACTCTGGGGTTTACAACAGTTGCCTGGGAAGGACCTGAGGTAGGGCTTCAAATTTACCTCTGACTTTTTGCTGTTCATATACAGAATGGCCAACTCGTTGTCAACCAGCTCCACTCCAATAGAAGACAGTTGTTGGCCCTGGTCCAGCTCATGCACAATGCGCTTTATATCCTCAATTAACATCTGGGCATCCCTGGAGGGATGAGGAATGGTAGTCAAAGGATATATATATCCTCAGGGATGGATAATCTCATGATTGGCATGAGTCGGGTAGGGAAGGAAGAGCTTTAAAGATAAAGAGGAACATCCTCAGAAATATCAGTACTCTTGCTGGGCACATACTCATTCTGTTATGGAGATACACCAAACTCAACAGTAAGGGATGAGTGACTCCAGGCCAGTCTTGGCCTAGTGCTTTGGTGCTCCTACCTGTTCTCTCCTGCAACTGTTACCACATGAGGTTTCTTGTTCAGAAGAAATTTTTTCAGCGTTTCAATATCTTGTGCCTGGATTGAAAGAAAATTAGAGCTAACTGGCTCTGAGCATGGGGAGATTTCAATCTCCTTAAGTAGTTTGAGCTCTTATAAAACCAGAGAACACCAAAAGCTGGAGAGTTTTCAGAGGGTATCTGATTTAAGGTGTCACCAAGACTTCAGTCCTATTTGTTAGGTTGGTGAGCCTGCTTCTGCCTACTTGATTGACTAATTAGAACTGACTTTGGTGAAACTAGTAGCCACTAGTCAGAGGTAAAGAACAGAATTCCTTTTACTGTGAGCCACAGCCTGTTTCCCTCCAATACTTAGCCACTTGTCTCTGTTGCTTCAACTTCCCAGGATTCACTTATTTCCCCTGGCAGTACTGGTGATCAGATCAAGGACCTTGTGCATACTAGGCAAGTACTCTACCCACTAAGTCACACCTGCAGCTTTTTTTTTTGGTACCGGGGATCAAACTTATGATCACGTGCTTGTAAGGCAGGCACTTATGCCGCTAAGTTAAATCCCTGGCCACATCTGCAGCTTTTTAACAAAAATTTACTTTGAATTAGGATCTTGCTCAGATTTGCAATGTTTCTACCTCAGCCTTACAAGTGGCTGGAATATAGGTGTGTACTACCATGCCTGGCTTAGTTCTAGTTTGGATCAAGCAAAACGAAGAACTAATTCTATGTTCTTTTGTTCTTATGTTCTTATGTTCTTATGCTGAAAAGGACAACATGGCAAGTGCTTGTTTTCTTCGCCTTAACGATGCCACTTCCTACTACAGTTCCTTTATCATTTCATTTCCAATCCCATATACACTTGGATATTCTATAATTCCTATGGATGTCTATTTCAGTTCTCGTGTGATATCTACTGAACACCTGAGTATAACAAAGTAAGGGAAGCAGTAGTATTACCAAAAAGCTGAGTCTGGTACACAATGTGAAACTGATTATCATTCTTATCCTGGCCCAAAGGAGCTTCTCACTGATGAGACTCCTCTAAAGATCCTAAACAAAACATAAGTTATGTTCCTCTAGCCAAGAAATGTGATACATCTTTCCCCTTTTTGAGCTGTTCTCAAATTTCAAGTGTCCCACTAATTTTCTAAACAGAAGAAGTCAATACCTTCCTTCTGTGCCCCAAATCCATCTGGGCTACATATAGATGACCTGATGCGTAACTACATACCCAGTGGAGTGGGTGCTTGAGTAGTCTCGTCCCTCTTTAAATAGGACTCTCAATGTTAGATATGATGCACTGTATGTTGGCTAACAACAGAAAATACACTGGGGCCTTTGGCTTGAGTATTATAAATCTGTTACTATTTTCTAAGATAATTATACTTTTGGTTGAAACCTAGGCGTGATCAACTAAGTACACTTGAGTCTTATTTATATAAACTATGGCCTGATAGTACTATTCTGATACTCTGATCTCTATTTTAAGATTTTTATTGTGAAATGCTTTTGTCATTATCTTCAAAATGTGGGATCTGACAATAAAACTGAGATAATATCGGGATAAAAAATTTCAGATACAGGGCTGGGGATTCAGCTCAGTGGCACAAGTGCTTGATTGCAAAGCACAAGGTCATAGAATTTGATCCCCAGACATATACAAAGTAGATGAATTCAAATTCTTTTCATGGAAAAAGAGGTACTAAAAGACTAATGCAGGGAAAAGGTTGGCCAAACGCCCCAGTGGCTTTCATTTCCTAGAACAGTATGACTCAGATGCTAGTAACAACAGCAGCAACAAAGGCAGATCAAAAAGCACACAAGGCCTAGGAACTGGCCTTAAGTCAGAAGCAAATTCTGTACCAGATAACATTAGTGCTATCTACTGTCACGGATGTATCACTAATCCCAAGGGTCAGAAATAATCAATGCTTTACACAGGATGCTGCTTAGACCATAGCACTTATCCCACTGAATTACGTGATATATTCGCTAACCCGTCCTGGAGACTTGCCTTCTTTTCTCGTTCTTCCTCTCTCCATGCAGTTCGCCTTTTGGTAAAGTGGGGCAGCCGGAGAAAATCTGTCACTTCTCCTTCACCATTAACCAGGGCACAGAACACAGGGTGATCTCT